AACAGAAATGCGCTATATGTGAATATCTAATAATTAATGGCGAGAGACCTCTTCCTTGGAGTCTTGCTGTCATGTGGCATCATCTGTGACGTAAATGGTGGCGGACTGAGTTCGAAACTTTAGACGGTACGTGCAGTATGAGAGTAGGTGGAATAACACAATCAAATATAGAAAATGTCACAATCGAAACGGTTGCATGATTTTTTTTCGAGTTAGTGGGTGCCTAACAACACCATAGGCATAGTGGCGTAGTATAGCTGAAGATTGCCTGCAGCGCGGTAAATCGTAATAATTTGCCCCTAATTGGAGTGCAACCCAACACGCATCGGTGTTTGGCAGGTCACGTTCCGACGCAGAGAGATGTATACCCGCTGAACTCGGAATGGCCCTAGGGCATAATGTGGGCCAAGCAAAGCATGCCTCTAATTTTTAGTTAACGTAGAATCTACTGAGCATGGCCAAAACGTGCTCTACCTATCCCTTCCAAGATTAAGAGAGTAGAATGTTTTGTCCTTAGTTGGCAGTATTTCAAAATTGTTTTGTGAAGTAATGTGAAAACAAAACCACCTCTCCTCCTTCGGTCTCATATTTACCCATTTGAATACGAAGTTCGCACAATCCTTTTAAATATAATTTCGAAATGATATTAATTAGTACAAAAACAAACAATACATTCAGAGAAATTTTCCGGCTCAGGCAGGTTTCTAGCTTGAACAGGTTCAGATTTACACACATTTCAGTATATATAACCAAGAAAAGTGGCTTAGTGCATAGTGCGCTGGATTCGCAATCGGGACGACCGTGTTCAATTTCCGGACCGGCCATCGTGACCGGGGTTTTCGTGGTTTCCCTCCTTCTCAAGGCGAATGCTACGATGGTTTCAAATGCCTACGAATACCTCCTCCTACCCCACCTAACACGTCGATGATAAATTAGGATGATAAATCCTTTCACTCCTCATCACCCAGTAATAATAATAATAATAATAATAATAATAATAATAATAATAGTATTAACTCCGCAGACGTTGACCTTGACGTTGGTGGTGGTGCTTTAGTACCTCCATGACCTTAAGAGCTTTGCCGGCGGTAGCGTAGCTACTGATAGAACCTCCCTTGCCAGACAGGTCGATGGGAAGGGGACAGACGAAGAAGTACTCCAGAAGAGAGCCTCAACAACAGCAGAAGAGGACCTACAGAATAGGTAATCCATAGAAGACATGAAGATGGCCTAAACACGACCCTTCTCTCCTCGAGGGTTGATAAGGGTACCCCCATGAGCCTGAGAGCTATATCAGTGGCAGTCTAGCTACTGGTAGGGCCTCCCTTGCTGAATAGGTTGAAGGTGAGGAGTCAGACGAAAAAGTTCTCTCAGAGGAGAGTGGGAAGTAAGAAGAGCCGGAAGGGACATGAACTCTGAGACTTCCTGTTATCAGCCCATGGAGTGTACAGGAGAGAAACTGGGTTGGCACACCACTGATTAGAGTGGAGGCCCGAACCTTACATTAGCCAGCGGAGGCTGCCTTCAGCAGTCAGTGAAAATCCCGTTTAGTAATGCCTTCTGGAGATCGGAGGGACCCTTGCTGGGCCCTACGGGGGGATGGCCCGAGGCCACTGTGAGTCGCAGTAAAGGATGACAGGAAAGAACCCATAGGTTAAGTGTGATCTGTGAACTGAAACTTGCTTCCTGCGAAACTTCCCTTATAATCAATGAGCAAAATGGATAGATCAATAAATGTAATGAATCTTTAAGTGTCCCATACCGAGCTAATGTCACCTTGTCGACGTCTGGCTATCCCACGGATGTTAGTCTCAGTGACCCAGAATCGGCAGTAGCTCGAAGCCATCGTCAGATATCGACACATTGCATTGAAGAAGGGGATGTGGAGCATTTACTATCCAAAAGCGAAAAATGGGGGCTCGGAAATAGAAGTTTGAAGGAACGGAGAGAGCAGATCTCCGTTATAAGACCTACCCTAGATTCAAAGAAGCCTTGCTAATGACGATATACTCAGCAATGAAAAATTCACAGCAGAACAGCCCTTCTGACCCTTCTCATTTGTTATCGCCCAACTCGCAGTGTTTTATTACCGCGCGACCCATGAGAGAAAGACAGACACAGAGAGAGAGAGAGGGAGAGAGAGAGAGAGAGAGAGAGAGAGAGAGAGATTGTGACAAACAGCACAGGCAGGCGCAGAAATGGAAGAGGAGTGGGGCAGTAAAAATTAATGTAAATAAAAGGGCGGAATAAGGGAAATATACACACATCACAGATATAGAAGTAGATTGGCAGGGCCGCCTCTAACAAGTGAACCCTCGCGGAAGAAGGTAAGATGGCAGCGCGCGCAACTCTTGATTTCTCTTATACTAGTTTATTGACAATACGGTCGTAAAATGCTTATTGTAATTTTTTTTCCTTGAACTTGGTTTGCCAGCCGCAATCCATCTTATTTTCCATAATGCAAATATTAATAAATGGGCATTTTATTCTTAATAAGTTCCGTAAATTATGTTTTATCAGCTGGGAATTTACGATTATAATTTAATTGTGTGATAACCATGTATTGTATGTGCTAATTTTTTTTCATGGTAAAGGGATGAGAAAAGAAAAATTTAAAATGCATCTTATTTGTTAAGTTTGCTCGTAAGGAGCTCGCCTTGCACCTTATGTTACTTCGTACCATCATTTATTACAGTATCTAGTACATCTAATTTTGATCATTCAACTATTTAACGCTTGAACTAATTAAGTTATCTGCAATAAAGACTAAGTTATTTTCTGTACCGTTCGAAAATATGTAATGCACCAATATTATAAAGAATGGAATTGAGGTTATGGAAGTGCAATGTTTAGGAATGCAAATAAATATTTTGAGTGTCATCTGCTGAAGGATTAAAATTTTCAAAATGATACCCATATATCAGACGCTGATTCACTTTAATACAATATTAGTCGTAACTCTGAAAGAAGTACGAGAATATAACTGAACTGCCTTGCAATTATGTACACGTGTGTGTGAGCGTGTACATTATTCCTCAAACAGATAACCATTGCCACAGACCGAATATACTACGATTTTTCCATCTCCCTGGCAGGTATCAGGTGTTGACGGTTTCATCCAATCGGAAGCTTGAGCGTCTCCATAGAGACGTCATTGTAGCGACATATAAGCTACCGATTGTATGAAACCGCAACAGCTGATTTACATCAAGTGCACAACTAAATAAATCGTACTGTAGTCAACATCCTCGAGAAAGATGGCGTCGGATCAGTGCATTCAGTTATAAGTTAGCGATAGCTTTCTCAAGAGATTTAAGTAGGCATGAGCACAGGGGGCCAGGTGGGCGGTGCCCCTGTCAATTTTGAAAGTGCCTTACACAATAAAACATTTTTTTCTTAAATAATCTCAATCCGTCATTTTCCTCTCTTTTAATCTGACAATTTGGGAAACTAGAATACATTTGGGGAAGAGGCTCTCAGGCACAGATCCAAGGAGGGAGGATGAGGAGGATTAGGATCCCCCTCCCTAAATTGTTTCAAGCAAACATATTTTCGGATTATCATTAAAACCAATAAACTCGTATTGCAGCATGAGCTGAGTGTATCCTGCGACGTTTTACAAAATCTGTAATTTGACATACGCGTCGAAAACATTTTAAATTTCCCTTCCCAAAATTCATCTCTGAATCCGCCACCGATGCTCTCCATGGAATCTGAAAATTATGTAGGACCTAAAACGTTTAACACAAAATCAACTGAATTTTCAATTTTGCAATTAAATTTATAAATCCATTCTATTTGTATTATGTTTTATTCATTTACTTCAAAAATTCCATTTCTAAATAACCAAGTTAAGTAGAAAAGGGGGCTCGTAAATCTAGATGCCCCCCTCCTGTGCATAAGGATTTACATCGTTCCGATATTGTCTCTGAAAAAATATTGTTTGGATTTATACAAATGGTGTCGAAAAGCAGATGACAAAATGTACGTGTGAAAATTAAATCATCAAACAGGTGCTAAAAAACACATTTCGAAGAACCCGCGTTGTTTACTTCTATCTTGCGTTTAATTAAATTATACTAGATATTATAATCAAAAAATGATGCACGCAAGTAATATTTCTTAAAAAAGAAATTTTGAAGTACAATTTTCTTGCATTCTGGCTTTGTAAATGCTAAATTTTATGCGAATATTTTCTAGTTGGAGGAATGACAAATGAAAACTCAACAGCTAGCACAAGTTAGCGAACGTTTGTGAAATGTATGCGAGTCAATTTTTTCGTGAAACTCAACTATCATGTCCTATTTGATTTGGAGTGTCAAAAATTATCGCTCACATGACTGACAGACACTATAGTGTTCTTTGACAATTATACAATTTTGGTTTCACTATTGGTATATTTCACTATACAATATTGGTATTTGATGTCATTCTTGCATGAAAATGTATGAAAATAAAAATCACATTGCAAATAGTGAGAAAGAACGACAAGCAAAATAATTTTTCACGGGAAATATTATCGGTCAAATTTTAAAATGTTTCTGTGGTGTACATTTTGATAAAAAAAAAAAAAAACAGGGTGGTATGCATGACACGAGAAAGACGGGGCAACCGGGGTGGCTGTTCCGAGCAACCGTTTCTGCCCACGTTATTGTAATCTAGTCTGCAGGGAAAACTGTTAATTGGAGTGCGTGGATAATCACATTGTTCTGTTCTCTCATATCACTTCTATTGCACAGCATGAGATGATTCCCTGATTTCGTTTTGTAGCTAGTACTATAGTACCTACCCAAGATTGAAACTACAGTTCACATGTGAGATATGTTCTTAAAATGGTTCAGCACGTTAGATAGTGGTTGATACGCACCTCTTCCGATATGAAGTACTGCACGGTCTTGCTTCCTCTAATGATCCTTTAACGTCCTCTAAGAAACTATAAAATTTGTAATGTAACTGTTATCTCACAGTGAATTAGAATTATGACGTTTCATCTTCAAAACATGGCCGTCTGTTTTGAGGTTATCATGAACAGCAGGATCATGCAAGTATGACAACTTGACGTATGTGATAGAGGACGAAGCTTGAGAAATGTTATATTGTCCCTATTTAAATTAAAAATAAAAAGAATAAAATCGACTATTTCTAACGCATTTTACAAATTACGGAATTAAGGGTTGTGTTTACATTATTACCTGCAGACTGTTGCGTCTGTTTCAGTGTGTTTTGATCCGTTTTGATTGACGTTCGAGGAGATGGATCCTATACTGTTGCAAAAGCAAGTTCGAGATAATGCTGATGAGCTCAATAGTTTTTTGAAGGAATTGAAAAGTTGGGAGAAAGATATGAAGAGAAAAGACCAAGAATTAATTAATAGTGCTACAGAAAGTGTGGTATGTTGACCAACTTAACCTACAAAATTTTATTATGGCATCAAAGATCTTGAGTTGTTTCATTCTAATCGCACTCCCTAAAGTAGAAGTGTTATGAATACATTTATTACGCAGCGTTTGGTTAATATTCTCTGTTTTCAATTTGTTTCATTGTAAACATTTGAATGAATTTCTGCTTTTTAGGCAGTACCACCTGTCAGAAGTAAAATTAAAAGAAAAAAAGTGACAGATAATAGTGATAAATCTCCAGTTGTAAATGAAGTTAAACGTATATCATCATATGATTACACAGCCTGGGACAAATTTGATGTGGTATGTTACAATTGATCATAAATTATTGTTAAGAGTAAATGATACTTCAGAATCCCCTCTCCAAAGAAAATTATTTGTTTTGTAGATTTTAATTATTTAGTATTTTATCTGCGCATGCTTCTATTAATCAACCATAGCTCTACGGTTGCCTAAGATCTGAAATCAATGAAGCCAATTAACAAAGAAATTCAATTTGAATTTTAGCACTAATGTTTACTTAGTATATTTGCTTCAAATTTTCTCTACAGTTTCCAGAGAAGTTTTGATATTTTGTTGTAAGTGCTGTATTTTTTAGGAAAAAGCGTGTGCAGAAATTGATAGTAAAAAGAAAGAATCAGAAGAGACAGATTCAGAAACAGAGGAAGACTTAGCAAATGGTGATGTTGCACAATTGAAAGAACAAGCTCTATATGAGAAGGAACTGGTATGATAAATTGCTGTTAATATTTTGTTTTGCTTAATTCTGAGCATTTTTATAAAATCTTTTTGTGTTCTATAATAAATAGGGAAACCAGCATGTAAAGGAAAAGAGATGGAAAGATGCTATTGACTGCTACTCGAAGGCTATCCTTTACAATCCTCATGATGCCATCTTTTATGCAAATAGAGCTCTGTGTTATTTGAAAACAAAACGGTAAGAAATTATTATTTTACTAATTTATTTATATTTTCTGGAAACTTTTAGGATATTTTTTGGAAAATATGATTTAAATCAGTCTTTTTTCATAAATATGTGTAATTGAATAAACCAAATGCATGTTTTTACAATAACTGGGTGGCCTTGATAATTAATCTGGGAAATATTGATAAATGCAGGAAAAACACTAATATCATACCAAAATTCTGTGTTTGAGACTGTATCTGGGTAGAAGAATATAATGATGTATTGATATGATGCAGATTACATATGGGAGTCACCAAATGCCCCTTGGTGGTTGTCCCGTGAGATAACATGCAGCAAATAATAACAATGGGTAGCCATGTGTATCAAATAGCCGTGAAAAAATTATCATTTTCATTATCATTTTCAACAAATGTGTTGGTAAAGGCAATTTTCATTGCTATTCATTTTTAATGCGAGCGTCGAACGACGCCTTTCCAGTAGATCAGTTATCCATGTAATAAAGAGATGCCAGCTATGTAAAATTCCGTACATTTATCACTGAACGAGCGTGCAGTAGCATTGTGATAACAGATGATCCTAATGTTGCAAGTGTTATAATATAAAATCAATGTGGATAGTTAAATTAAGGTATATTGTTTATCATCTCAAACTCATGTGAGAAACATATACCATTGAGATGGAGAAAGATGGTGCTAAGTAAAATATTTTGAACATTGATACAGACCCAAAATAAATAAAATTTCAACGGGAACCTACACCTTAACTCCACCCGACCGCCACCTCCTACATAAGAATAAACATTTTTTTTCATTTTGATTTTTTAATGCCTTATGCTTATTACCATTTTAATTTCTATTCTGTTAACAAAAATTAATCATCTTAATCTTAAAATTAATCATTAATCATCATAGTTAATGTTAATAAAATGTAAATGTGTAAAACTAAAAGTGTCTTTCATAATCAAATCATTCACTTTCATATGAAAATGATTTGCTACATCTAGTTCCAGATGGTTTGAACTGCTAATTGACTCATTGTTTTCAAAGATACAAAAAAATATAGCTTTTGAATTCAATAATTTATGTATTATTCACACAAATATTACTTATATATTAAAAATAATAAGATTAGACTGAAAAAAGTAAAACTAAAAATTATATGTCAAAGTACTTTTACTAGCTACCTTATGGTTTTAGTGAATAAAATATAATTGAGGTAATTATCAGTTATATTTGCCACTTGTGCCACCACTTATCAATATGAAGAAACTCAATAGTATTTAATATAAATTTTATCCTTATAATTTTTTTCCTTTGATTCAAAAGCCTCTAGAAGTACATTGTTATTTTTTCTGTTTATCTTTCTATGGGTCAGTTTCTTTAATTTTCTTAAATATGGATGATTAAAAATTACATTGTACAAAAAATACATTGATATATTTTGTTCGGTCTGTACGCAGTTGTGTGTGACCTTAGAATCAGAAATAGCTAACTCCTATACCATACGAACCTTACCATGGACATTTAGGATGTGCAATAACATGGGGGAAAACTCATAATAGTATTAATGTGTTATACTATTATAAATCAATGTATTAATGTGTAATTTAACTTGATGTTACAGAGCTAAATTAGCAGAAACAGATTGCACCACTGCATTACAGTTGGATAGTACATATGTTAAAGCGTATCAACGGAGAGCATTAGCCCGTATTGAAATTGGTCTCAAAGACGATGCTAAAGCTGACTTTGAGAAAGTTCTTGAATTTGAGCCAAATAATTCTGCAGCAAAAAGTGAGTTGATAAAATTAGAGAAGCAAGGATCGAGTGCTATCAAAACAAGAGTGAAAGAGACTAAAAAAAATGTGGAGAGAAGCGAAAGCGATCAAAACATTAGAAAGGACTATTCAGTGTTAAAGGAGAAATCATGTTCCACTAGTACGACTGAAGAAATATCAGTGTGTACAAAAAGAGTAGGAGGAGCACCTGATATACTGGGTGGAGGAGGGGACACTGGAACTGTGAAAGTTCCATGCAGCTTTTTGCAAGAAGGAGATGAGGATATTGTTCCTGTGAAGAAACCACCACACCTACGCTCAAAGGCAAGGAAACACACTAATCTATGATGATCTAATACAATGTGCTTTAGTTCTTATTTCATAGCATGAATGAATTAATATGCAAAAGCTTCATTGTATTTCCTTAAATGTACCCACTGCTAGTTCTTTTCTTTTATATTTGCTTTTGTTATTTTTAATTTTTATGTATGCAATAGTTAGAAGAACTATTGCTGTAATTCGTATTAAAGTGAAACCAGGATAACCTACCATTGGGGTTACATCCTTGAAGAGGAGACTGAATTTCTTCATCCAAAAGTTATTGTGTGAAAGTCTTTTCGAACGATCTTTTTACTCCTTATACATTTAGAGACAAGGATTAAAGCAGTCATCAACCTTACTGCTTTTTATACCTACCCAAAAGTTCTTCGTACTGACAAAAAGAAAATCAGTAACTTTACTCAGATTTATACATAGGGTGAATTGACTTACGATCAGCTTGCATGCAGCTGTCTAATTGGGAGTTTCAATGTCATAAATTTTAATTGTAACAAAGCTCCCTTTTGGATAATCATGTCCCAGCTAATTGCTTACACTAGTCGCCTTACTTTTAAATGGGTATAAACTCTTTCTACACCGTGACACCTCACTGTTCTCTTTCCTTCGTCCGATCATCGGGCATGTTTTAAGTCCCAGCCTGCTGCAGCATGTCGATCTGAACCCTTGGACCCCGAGGAGGATCTAGGTACTTAAGTGCTGTAATTGCTTGTTCACCCCTTCTCTGAAATTCACTAAACGCTCGCAATCATGAAATTATTAATATAAAATTATATTAGATATATTTTATTAGATTGTTTATTAGACCAAATCCTGTAAGTGGGATATGATGAGACAAACCACAAGATGGCAATTCTCAACTCGTTTACTCATTCTTCCCATCTATTTCTGTGCTATGATAATTGCTGAATAAGCTCAATGCTGTAATAAGCTGATTTAAGATATTATGACTCATTATATAAATACATAATTAATTGAAACATTCTTTTTATTACAAGAAGTTCTAAGTTCTGATTTATTCTGTGTCTCATATTTTCTTGCCCAGCCTTGAACACATTCTTATTTTTCATTTTGAAAATACTATCCTCCTGAAGCTCAATAAATAAGCTTCATTAAGAAATAGTAATTCAATGTCTTTAGTGTACTCTTTCTCTTTTTCTAATTTTGTTTTTACAAAGTAATTTGTATTAATTGAATTTAAAAAATGTATCCCAAGGTAACCATCTTTAATGCATACCTTCTGTTGTTGATGTTCTTTGTATACTGTATTCAATTTTTCATTCAATATATTTTCATGTTTTTAGAGGCCGCTGAGAGTAGTGCCTGTTCAAGAAGTTGAGACTATTGGTGATCTCCTGAAAAAGAATTCTAAACCCAAAGAAATGCTTGATAACAGCCCTAAGCCAAAAATAGTTGAATTGGAATCGGAAGCAACTGTTACTGAGTCAGTCTCAGTAACTGAGCAAATTAGTCTACCTACTAGTAGTGCACCTGCTATTAAAGCTTCCGTTATGAAAGAAACCAAACATCAAGACACCAAATCATCAGAACTTCAAACATCAAATAACAAGGTTGACCTTCCTCCTGTTCCAAAAACATCTGTACAGTTCCTCGTATCTTGGAAAATTGTGAGATATAACAGTGAGTTAAGACATCAATTTTTAAAGGTATGTATCATGTTTTGTTAAAATATAAAATTTTTAGTATTGATAGAGATTTTCGTAAGTGTAGTTTTGATATTTATAGCAGGGTACAATCTTGTTCTAAATATGCTTATAAATATTAGAATTAAACTTTAAAATTTGAATGGTGAAATCTATATTTGATCAAACATTTATGAAATTTTAGTAGACAAATTGCTGAACAATGTGCTGAACATTCCTTCGCAACACATGTGTACTTAAAGTGTTTTAAATTAGTATTTAATTATGTGAATTTGAAATTCAGAAAATAAAAGATTTGGTGATTGTCAAACAATATATTTATCAGAATGTGTAACAACTAGAGCAGTTTCAAAATTTTATGAAAATATGAAAACTGGTTTAATTTGATAAAATATATGTTAAAACTTGTTTAAAAAGATCATCTAAAACATGTTTAGAGCCTGAAAAGGAAAGAAAAGATAATGAACAAATGTATTATTCTGTGTTTGAATTCAAATTAATAACTGTGATTTTGCACTACTCTATAAACTTCCAGCATGTACACTGCCAGCACCAGCACTTGAATATCAAATAAATTGCAATTTAATTCTAGAGGAAAGAATTTCCAATGAAATAGGATGACACTTACTCCACCATTCAGTATTTGTAAATTATATGATGATATTTTCTGACAGAGTATTTTATGATTATGACTATCTCATTGGATATTTTCCGTTTAACCAAAATTCAGAAGAACTTTGTTTTATTAAATCACTAAGAAAAAATTTCATTTAAAAAAAAAGTTATATGCACGGAAAATTATTTTATATTGATATTTCACTTAAGAAAATATAATAGAGGTATTTATAATTTGTTAAAAAGGGTTTAATATTTTGTATCAAATGTTTTGTTGCAGCAAATTCCTGGTAATGAATTTCCACAGATATTTCAAGAATCTCTTGAAAGCAGAGAATTTAGTGAAATCATTTCTACTTTGGCCACAGAATTTTTAGAAAAAAATGATCCTGTTTATCCTTACCTGAAAGGTTTATCAGAAGTGAAAAGATTTTCTGCTCTAGTGATGTTCATGTCAAAAACTGAAAAACAAGGTTTGATTATTTTTGAAACTTTTCTTCTTAATTTCTTTCTTATATATTTTGATTAATATATTCATTTTTGTTGAATTTCAGTGATTAAAAAGCTGCTTCAGAGTTGTGCTGAAAATGAAGAATGTTCCAAAGAAGATATTGCCTATCTTTTGAAATGTTATGAAATAAAGTAGTTAAGTTTTCAATTGTATAATTTTGTTTATATTATCTTTTTAATTGATAAATATAAAATGTAGTAATATGAATTTTTTGTAAGTATTTTGTTGAATTGAATACATTTTTTTAAAAATTTATCAGATAATTTTCTTTAATAGCACAGTGAAATGGAAATTGAATTGCCTCTAAACATAAAATTGAGAGTAAAAATGTGTGTTGTCTTGATTCTCCGATACTGCATAATTATGTTGATGCTAATGACAATGATTATTGAGACACGTGAATATCATGGCCTGACAGAATCTTAACATTTAGCTTTCATCTATCTTTGGCTATCAGTATCTCCCTAGATATTGATTGGCTTAGATTTAAATGTTATTAAAAACTAACATTCAACCAGGTGGTATTGTGGTCCCAGAATCGGTGGAGTGTGTGAAATTTTACGCGAGTGGTTCAGAGGATGTACGGGCATTAGGGTACAGAAATAATGTAAGCAAATACACAATTAAGATTTTTTCATGTTGAACTTAGGGGCCATCCATGAAGTACGTAACACAAATTTGGAGTAGTTTGAATACGCCTCCTCCCCCCTGTAACACTTGCTTGAAGCCCTGTAAATAGTTATGTAATGCTTGCTCCCTCCCCCCCCCCCCTCGTCATTGCAAGAAGTGAAAATAGGTTATAGCATATTAAAAAAGTTGTACTCATTTTATTTGTGTTGCATATTAAAATGTATGATAATACATTTTAACATGCATTTACAAGCCGTGCACACGTCGCTGGTGTAGAGCCTGTATTGGCTGGTCTACTGCGCCAATTGAATTGTATTCTAGAAAATACTACAGTCAATCTTTTTACATTTTCATTAATTGTTTTAAAACAAATTAGATATTTTAATGTTTTAGTATAAGACTCAAAAAAGGAAGTATTTCAACAAATGATTTTTTTTTTTTTTTTTTTATAATGTTATATAACACTGACTGGATATCTCCCTGCCCCTAAGTAATGCGGCATAACACTGCCTCAAACCCCCTCGCCCCCTCTGTAGCATTACGTAATTTATGGACGACCCCTTATTTCACTTTTCAACGTATCATTAGGTACCCCAAATATCAAAGATAAAATAGCTAATCTTTTTAATAATTAAAAATTTAGCTCTAATTAAAATTAAAGATCAATAATTTTCCGTAAAATTCATCAAATGATGTGTCATGTACCTTACTGATGCGATTAGAATAAAAATGTATTCAAATTCTTGTCCTGTTTATTAACACAAAAATAATAAATCTAAACATTACTACTAATTAAAAGAAAGTAACACCTCTGTTACTTTCTGTTAAAGAAAGTAACACCTACTCTCCAGGTAATATCTAAATAATAACTAATTTGTTTGTACTGTTTCCACATGAGCTCATCGTCATAAGTTGTCATGGTCTATACTTGATTACAGTACCTCACAAGTAAAATCACCAAATTAGTTTTCTTGGCCCTTATCACTTTACAAATCTTGCAATACAAGAATAGATGCTACTCTGCTGCACGTAAGTTGAAAGCTTTTTAGTAATTTTAAATATCAAGCAGATTGAGTGCAACTCCACACAGCAATGTCATTTTACGTCTGAACAATACTTTCACCACTTACACGATTAAGTGAAATGTCATGTCATAATTCCTACCTCTTAAAATATTAATAATTGTAACAAAAGCTCTAAAATGCAAATACAATGAAGAAAACTATTTGTTTTAGCAATGTTATAGCAAGTAATAGAAAATCACAACAAGAATGTTATTTATGAATGTTTAGACAATGTAAATAATGGCTTTAATTGTCATAAATTATTGGACTGATGGTTTTAATTCATGTTTTTCTGTTAAATATATTAAGGTGAGAAAAGGAAAAAAAAGAGTCAAATGGGATAATGATGAACTTACGTATCAGAAACTCAATGTCAAAGCTTTATTTGATGCCTACCAAATCACTCAGACCATATCAGTTAAAGCACCGTTATGTCAACGCAAAGAATGCAAAATCAAATCAGACAAAAGCAGCAACTTTTACTGACTTCATTCTAAGATCAGGTAACAAACACAAAGTCTCCATGCTATTAATAAATAGAAAACAAAAAAAAAAAAAATGTAATACCTCTATTGAACTCTTACCAGAGGGTTTGAACTATTATTATTTATTACGTTCAATTTGTTAATGATATAATTTTATCAGTACTTCACAATATTGAAGTTCGGTAGAAATGGTGTGCAAATGCAAGATGGTAATACATCCTTTCAAATACTGAACAAACAACCATAGAAACAGACAAAATTTTATTTTTTACAATATTTCAATCCATTTTGGGGTTTCATTTATTTATTTACGTCAAAAACAGTTAAAAACTGTGTGTGACATTCTATGGGAAGAAGTTAATTTCAAGTTACATTTATACTAAATAAATATCTTAAATAATGTTGGGGAAGTACTACATCCGTGTTTTAGATCATTTGTAATATATATTTTATTAGAAATATGTGTACCTAATTTAACTTGGGATATTTGCTTCATGATACATATTTCTTAAAACATTTGTAATATTAATATTTGATTTCTATAATTCTTACCATAATTTAGCCAATGCGACACTATCACAAGCTCTTTCTAAATCTACAAACACAAAATATATTTTTCAAAACCTTGTTTAACTTCAAATGCATTGTAAACTGTAGATCTCACTGTTTAAAATTCCATCTGAAATTCACTTTGTTTTCTTAAAATCCTATTCTTAAAAATAGTGAAGTATCTTGCCATATAGTCGACTGAATGTACATAAAACTGAAATACTATGTATATCACATCATTATAATTGATTATATCTTCTCCTAAATACTCAATTATCTCATTACTACCCTTTTTTTCTTTCCTGTATTTCCATTTAAATTTCCGATCACTAGTACCCACCTATTATTTCCAATTTTGTATCTAAAGTATTCCGTAATGTTTCATAAAATTTATCCTTCAATATCATATTGCTTCAGGTGTCTTCATAGACATGAAATATCACTTTATAAAATAGTGACAATAACAAATTATGTAATAGCAAACTTTTTAACTAAGTAAATAAATTTAAATAATAATAGAAATACCTTTTTGAATTTTCACAGTATCTTTTGCATTAAATTATTAAAAGTTGTAAGTTAGAAAAAATATTTTTTGTAATCTAAGTTCTATGGGCAGTCTATTACTTGTAAAGATTTAATAAAACAACATTCAGAGAATTATCACAATGGCATAATTATGACACCTATGGATTCTCGAACTTTTTTTAAAACAAATTATTAATACAATCTCTTTACCTTTGCTTTGTTCAACATGTGTTTATCACAGGGTGTTTTTCCATCACATGTAAAAATTATTTAAAGTGATTCTCATACATAAAAAGGGTGACACCAAGGTACTAAATCGCTACCGACCTATATCATTGGTTCCAGTAGTCCCTTCATTCTATTCTATACAAACAACTCCGGTATTTCAAGAATTACTGCTTACTCTCATTGACACAATTTGGTTTTAAATGCAGCAAATCAACCACAACAGAACATCTGATAAAGCACATTTTTGATTCATTAGAAAACCTCTTTTTCATCTTGAGTGCTCTGCAACACAACAAAAACTTTTGATTGTGTTTTACCTGAGCTGCTTATTCAAAAATTGCAATATTATGGCATAGGTGACAGCAGTAATAGACATATCAAGTCTGTTGGCCTCAAAAATTCCAGAATAATTGAAATTGTGTATGGTGTGCAGCGGGGCTATATCATGGAACCATTCCTGTATATTATCATGATAAAGATCTGACTTATAACCTAACAGTCACTCCAATACTCTGAGCAGATTCTACGCTGATAGTACAGTAGCATTAGAGAACCACTAGAAGTCTATATATACCACAATAGTGTTTTTTGGTTCATGGATTTTTATTGAGTGATGTGAAAACTCAAATAATATCTTAAAGAAATAGCAAACCAAAGCCGACTGGTTACTAAATTGGAAATTCAACTTTATCCAAAGGTCTTTTGGAAATTCCTAATCAGTTTAGTTGGTAGGTCTTGCAAAAGGGGAGGGGGGGGGTGTTACTCGTTTTTTTTCTCTATAGCTCTTGAATTTCAAGTCGTGTAGAAAAATGTTTAAATGAATTTTAAAGAGAATAAAACTTTCTACAACTTTTGTGTAAAACATTATTTTTGAAACCAATTGCCAAGCTAGCTACAAATTTTCGCAAAAACGCATTTTTTTCAATTCTCAATAATGTGTGCCAAAATACTTTGTTAGATTACAATCAACCTATAATAAATATAATTGTTATTATATGTAATACTATTATTTATCTCATCGCTTTTCCTTCTTGCTTTTAGTAGGATGTGATACCTTAGATTAACACCCATTCATTTGTGGTTATAGATTCACCCATCGTAGACAATAGAAGAAAATACTCTACAATGGAAACAGTCATTCGTCTGAAATATTCTGTGTCATCAGACAGAACCAATAACAGAACATATCGCTGAAACAGATGGAATCTTTTGGTTGATTGAACAGTAAAGAGAAACCAGTCTCATTAAGTGAACTTCAGTAGACCACTAATTAGAGGGTTTTTTTCGAATTTGTAATTACAGTTATGTATTTATAAAAATGCATATCAGAATAACTAAAAAAAACATTGCATTTGGTTGGTATAATAACATTTTCCAAAGCGGTCGCGGGTCGCACAAAAAGATCTGGTGGTCCATATGCGGCCCACAGGCCGCCCACAGTCCTGACATACGCCAATGCCAAAGTTTTAACGTTCAGCCTTCGTTATTAACGAAAGCTTTGACAATGCACATATTTGTGAACCCTTATTTTTGGAATAAAAATGCGGGAATAATTTTTTTCCTATAGCCTGAAATTAGAATTAAATTTTGGGTAGGGTTTCAGAACTTTTCTAAGGTCTTTTGATTTTGGTGCTGATTCTCCCATAAAAAAAACAATGTTAATTGTTTTTCTTTTTACAGCCCTGATTTTTATAACATAAATGTAGAAATATTTTTTTTCCCGAGAGCTTCTAATTAGCCTTAAATTTTGGACGTGTTTTCATATTTTTTAATTGATTTTCAGATTGTTTTCTAAGGTAAGGATTTCGGTAAATCCAAAAGAGACTAAAATTCGGAAGTAGGGCAATTAATTAGCCTAAAATTTTGGATATAGTTTGGTTGAAATTGGTTGTTGGGCGCTGCTTGCTTTAGGTGGCTGCATTTCTCTACAGTATACTCGTATTGCTTACCTCATGATACCGCATTGTTGAGCAAAAACTGCAAATCGATATAGTTAACTTTTTAGAAGGTAGTAGTAGGAACTCTTGCGGTTAAATCGAACGGGATGATTAAAGCCGAACCCTTTTACTTCACCGGATATTTATTTACCGTTTTCATCTCTTCAGTCAGGAAAAGGAATGCACTATGTGTATTGGTTATAATCTTTCTAGTCTGACATGGCGTAGTCGGCTCTGCCCTGCTCTGCTCTCAACTGCCCTGCCTTAACGACAAATTGCCCAGGCCAATCCTGCTCCTAGCAACCGTCCTCGTCCTATTCTGCTTCCCCTGAACCCGATACTACCCGCATTACCTCCAAGTTCTCCGTGATGCCTTTTCATTTTACATACTCGCTACGAAGTAAGAGAAAGTTATGTAATGCTTCGCGGAAACATGGAGAATTTTCGGCAGAAAAACTCTAATTACAGGGCCCTAGTAAAACAAAAATGTGGATACACCCAGTTGCTAAATTTAGGGAGGAAATCCTCTATCACTTGATGTAGCCAGAATCCTAATTTTGTAGGTCTTTGATACCAATCCCCCCCCAGGCCAATCCTGCTCCAAGCAACCGTCCTCGTCCAATTCTGCTTCCCCTGAACCCGATACTACCCGCATTACCTCCAAGTTCTCCGTGATGCCTTATCATTTTACATACTCGCTACGAAGTAAGAGAAAGTTATGTAATGCTGCGCGGAAACCCGGAGAATTTTCGGCAGAAGACTAATTACAAGGCCCTAGTAATACAAAAATGTGGATACACCCAGTTTCTAAATTTAGGGAGGAAATCCTCTATCACTTGATGTAGCCAGAATCCTAATTTTGTAGGTCTTTGATACCAAAAAAGTGAATGACGGCAAAACGTCTGTCTGTCTGTCTGTTTGCGAACGACGCTAGCGGCTAAACCGTTTAGCCAATTTTCTCCAAAATTTATATACGTCAATCGAGCTGGTTGATGTTGCGGCCTCATGAATTTCGAACCAATATATTAATTTTGGAGGTTACTTTACATATAGCCCTTGAAATATTTGCAAACTTTTTAAGAAATGGCTCACAAGCTTTTGATTAAATTTTATTGTTAGACAGTGTGAATGACGTTTAAGAACATGGCGCAGGACTCGTGTTCGTTAAAAACACTGATTTTTCGAAAATTGCGAAAGTGCTAAATTTTGTCGGTGTCTTCCTACAACTAAAATATTAAAAAAATGACGTATTTTCTTCCTAATGAAGTCAGTTCCTTAAAGATAAATTGTAGGAATTTTTTACTTTACGGTATTCACGTACATACGGAGTAATACTCGTAGTATAGAGAAAGTTATGTAATGCTGCGGAAAATCGATTTCGAGATATAAACGGAAATACATGTTTTGGGGTTCTCTGATACCGTAAAACTGGTTCTTTTAAAATCGTCCGTCTGTGAACACTACTAGCGCCTGAACCATACGTAGGGTTTTTTCCAAATTGAAGAAACCCTTGTCAATCTTATTCGAGTCGAATCTTTGAGATTTTGATAAACATTTTTTAAAGTTTGAGGATACTGTACATGAAGCCGAGCATTTTCAAACTTTTCTCAAAAAACGGCTCCAATTTGTTTCTTTAAATATCTTGTAATATTAGAATAACATACAACTGTAAAAGTGGTATAGATCTGTTTTACACGGTTAACTCTAAATTTTCGAAAATTTCTAAAATATGAATTTTTTCGGTGTCTTTCTAAAACCCTTCAAATAAAATTTGTTGTTCGTAATTCGTTCTTTTATTAAGGTCATGTACCTTCTTTGAAAATGTTAGTAGTTTTCGCGCAATATTGCGTGCAATTTGTGTTCTTTTAAAATATTACAAAAATAAGACTTTCTCAAAAACGTCTCCAATTTTTTTCCTTTAAACTATTGATAGGAATATATGTACTCTATAAGGTGTCATAAATACCAGTTTGCTTTATTCTTTTGTTTTTTTTCAAAAATGACAAATATGTATTTTTTTCTTGTCTCTCACGTTGTGAGAGCAGTGTTTGTGTACATTAGCAGCGATTTCTTTACATTATTATATTGATGAGTACATGTTCTTTAAATAATGTTACATAAAGTTTCTCGACAACTCAACCGTTTTCTGTAAAAATGAGCTCAAAATTTCACATTTTCAGAATCGCTCAAACGCCATATTCTCATAAACCGATTCAATTTTTTTCTTGAAACTTTTCGAACGAATATTGCTAATTGCACTTTTTAACATGACCTAAAGTTAATTCCAGGGTATATTTTTGTTTTAAAAAAATTACATATTGTACTTTTTTGAAACATCTCTCATTTTCTCAAAAATGATACCTACAATTTTAATTAAATTTTTACTTTGGATTGCGTGTAGGACGCGTAAGAGAATAGTGCAAATCTCGTTCTCGTGGAATATTATAATTTTTGAAAATTGCAAAAATTCAAACTTTTTCGGCGTCTTCCTGTAACTACAATTATGAAGATAAACATTTTTTTAAATGAAATATGTTCATGAAAAACATATCTAAAAATAATGTCATGTTCAATTTTTCAGAAATATGAGTGTTTTTTAAATATTTTGTCTCAAAAATGGGCAATTTTTATATTCTTTTACCAATTTTTGTTAAAAACGCCACGAATGTTTTGTCATTAAATTTGGGCTTAAGAGAATGGTGCAGATCTCATGTTCGTTGGAATGCCTGATTTTTCGAATATTGATTTTTTGATTGAGAAGATTGATTTTTTTTCGGTGTCTTTCTATAACCACAATTGACAATACACATTTTTACTCTCCAGCATTCTTACGTATTTGCTGAGTATTATACGTAGTATAGGGAAAGTTCTCCGGGAAAAAACGACGGATTTTTGACAGAAAAAAATCATTGTGGGGCTCTGGTAACGAAAAAGAAGATAAATCCAGTTGCTAAATTAAGAAATAAAATCCGTCCGTCTGTCTGTCTAGTGTATGTGAACAACTCTACGCGCCTAAACTACGATATTTTCCAACCTGAATAAATCCATGTCGATGTGTCGGGAGTCAAAGCTCGGCAATTTTGAAAAGTATTCATTAATTTGGGGGCGTTCTTTGTATGAAGCCCAGGAACTCTTTCAAAATGTTCTCATAAACGGCTGCAAATGTTTTACATTGAGAACATTAAAAAAAAAATACTTTGAGTGAAGATAGATGGCAACTGGCAAGATTCAGAATAGCTAGCCCAGACCAAGGAAAATAGAAAACTAATATTAAACTTTCTTAGGGATTATTGACGTATAGCATTTATGCCTTTAAACGAAATTGTATTGACACAATTTGACGGAAGACGATATCGTCCGGCATCAAAAAGAGTTGTTCATCGCCCTCCTTGTATTATACGTATATGGTTTAGACGCCGTGGTGCAATTGCACGGTTAGAATACTAGAATTGCACGACTAGAATACTACATCCACTGCTAATTACTGCCGCGGCACATAATGTCCGTGGTTCGTCACGTAAACAGGTAACGCGTTCAAATTCTAAAAGTGGGATTTCTAAGCGTCACTACAATAATCAAAGAAACGTTGGGAGAATTTATTTCAAAGCTGTCCCGCCGAAATGGAAAGTCTGGTCACCTTACCTCAGCTTCAGATTTAATTGGAATAATTACGCATTGTCACGGCTTCGGGCATTGTCGTTCCGAAAAGCGCAACCACAGAAACGATTGGTCTCCTCCTTGACATAGCAGAGCGGTCATTCACGGGTGTCGCAAGTCGGGCATCAAAAGCTGACAGATTTGTAGCAGAACCTCTGTGCAAAATGGAAGTAATTCCCTACAGAAAACACGGAGGCTACTGCGTGTCTGGAGGTGGCGATGCCAAGGAAAAAGGTCTGAAAATCCGGGCAATTTTCTCACAGGAAACCAAGATATTCACTCACTGCATCCTGTTTGGACAGTTGAATAACATACCAATTCTGCAAATATATTACAATGATGCCGAATTAATCATGATATTTCAACTAAAGGTAAATAATATTTACCAAGCCTTGCTCTTGTGGAGAGACAAAGCTATTCATTCCAACTCTGCACTGCGCATTTATGAAATGCGAACCCTTGGAAGCGACGTCCAAAAAGGACAAGAAGTGGAATTCGAAATGCAATCTCCGCAACCGGTGAATGAAGCTGCCCCGAAAAGTAACTGCCTGGAGATGCTGGTGTGGGAGCGAACGTGCGCTGCGAAGGCAGCCGTCGCTCAGGAGGAAGTGGCGGAGGAGGCGTCCTTTCCGGAGGGCGAGAGAGCGGAGGGCGCTGGTGGGCGCGTGCTGCCCGCCGCCTCCGACGCAGAGGGCGCTGTGGGCGTCGCGACGCCTGGTGGCGGTTTCTGCTCTGCTGCGGCAGCGCAGTCGACGACGAGTGAAGCTCAGCGCAGATCGAGCGCCATCGACGAACATCTTTTTACTAACAGAACGTCTGAAAGATTACGTATTTTTTATTAATGTCTTGAACGATTATTGCGCAAATCTATTCACGATGCAAGAAGTGATATATTTATATTTCATACTTCTACTTATTAACAATCAAATAACTCATATCAAGTTCAGATTCTTGTAAAATCTCTATTTTGTAATTATATTAACAATGGTGCAGAAGCTGTGATCTGTAAATAAAATATTCAATGAAATTGTCTTGTTTTATTTAATAGTTTGATATAATTTCGTGGAAACCACACATAATTAGTTTTGTTGATCACGATTCCTTTTTTGATACTTCAGAATTTCTGTTCCAGTGTTTTATTGTACCTACGGAATTCGGATACCATAATTGTTAGAATGATGCGAAATTTTCAGGCAGTGGCGGTCGAAAAATTGACGCTTGCTGTTCGTTGAATGACATTAATGTAATTTACAAAATTCAGAGCATTAATATGTAATTAAACCTAAACAATTCATGAACATAAATTAAAAGGTTGTTTAATAAATGTGTATATTAAAATATTACTTAAATATTTTAATTCGTAGTATCCGTGTCTGGTATTTTCACCTTCCGCACAACTGGTTCTGCTTTGATTTCCAGTGGGAACTCGAGTATATATATATATATATATATATATATATATATATATATATATATATATATATATATAGTTGTGTATTGAGACAAGAAACGCGGCAGTAAGATTTATACTCGTACATACAAAAATGAAACGGGTTTTGAAAATACGATGGAAAATGTTTCATTTTCCTGCCGGTATATATAGTATTTACGAAAAATCGTGTGTATGTGTGTGGGTGGCTGAGTGTTGTGGGAATTGTGTTTATATGTAAGTGCAGAATACAGAGGTATTAATTAAACAAGGAAAATTGTGCGCGGCGTGTAGCACGTGTTAAGGTTCTGCTCCTGCGTTCGCTGAGCATTTGCTGGAAAAAACTACAAAGACTTCGATCTTTCGGTCAGAGAAGCTTCATGGTAGAAACATATTTTGCACTGAGCTATCTCAGCCGGTCATATTTTCTTTTAGGATACTCGGATAATTCATTAAATTTTGTACAATTAACCTACAAATATAACTAGAAAAATTCGTACTTATTATTCTGTCTGAGTTAAAGTGTTTCCGGCGATAACAAACTGGAAACTTTAAATTATATGACTGAATTTAATTTGTTCTTTTCACCTGAAACAGCAGGGAACGGAAAAGAACTAGTACTGCTAAAACAGCACACAATTTCTAGCATAATTTCCAAATTTGCAAAATTTTCGAAAAGTCAGAGAATACACAAGAATGAGATTCGCGTTTTTTAAGTGCGCCTTCTTGTAGCCGTGGAAAGAGTTTGATGAAATAATTTGTAGAGTTTTTAATTTTTATAATAGAATTAATGCATCCACTAAATATGCGAAAACAACTCGTTTAAAAAGTATACATTTTCTTTAAAAAACTAATTTTTAAAGGGTCTTTTTCTGAGGCAAAAAATGTATCATCAATTTTATAGTTAATAATGATAATTATTGGGAATTTTCGAACATCACGTAGAGGAATACTCCAGGAATTATTAAAGATTTTTTTTTTTACTTTCTCGCATACCTACGTCGATACCGATTATAAATGTAGTATAGAGATAGTTATGTACAACTATTGCATTTGTGACTATTTGCACGAAATGACTTCTAAGAAAGCTTTTGAAAACATAATAGTTTTCTGTAAAAAGATGTTCTAATTTCGAATTAACAGTAGCATTGAAGCGGTATTTTCTTAAATGCGGCTCTAACGGATATTTTTATTTTTGAGGGTACTTTACATGAAGCCTCAAAAACCTTTTCAATATTTTCTCAAAAATGACACCAAATATTTAGATCAAACTTTGTTCTCGGAAAGCGTAAAGGACGCTTAAAAGAATGGCATAGATCTCATGCTCGTTAAAATCCCAGCGATTTTGAAAATTGCGAAAGTGCATTGTTTGGAGGCCTCTTTCTATAATTATAATATTGAACATAGAGATTTTTTCCTTAGTGAAATCTGTTCTTTATAGACAAATTTCAAAATATGTTCAAGTTCAATTCGAAAATATGAGTAGGTTTCGTGTATTTCGGGACAAAATATAGACAATTAAAAAATTGTTTTTCTCAAAAACCGCTCTTAAGTCCCCCCCCCCCGCCCAATAGAATAAGGGAGGCTATTCAAAGAATGACACGAATTTCGTTTTCGTTGAACACTGAATTTTCGAAAAGCGCAAATTTAGAAAAAAATGCGAAAGTATGTACTGTTGTACCATCATTAGTTTCAGATTTATAATGTTTATTAATGTTATATAATACACAAAAATATAAACTATCCGGGCAGCCATCGGGGACCTCCAGCTCTCAAACAACACTTAATTTGTCGAGATCGAGTAGTTCATCCGAAAAAGGGAGATTTACATAACACGTTTTTGAATGATTTTTGATAATGGTGGCCTATAATATTGTGAGAGTGTGGGTGCGTGTGCGCTTGTGGGTAATGTTAATCATAATCCGAATCATCTACCTTCAAGGCATTCTTGTATCCTCCTTCACACCGGAAAAGGTGGGATTCCAGTCGATTCTGATTTCAAGCTCTTTGTCAAAATAGCAATCCTTCGTGTAAATATGAAGATATTATCAACGAAAAGTATTGTCTTCAAAATAATAAGACACTTCAAGAAATCTTTGGAAAGCATTATCAGTTAATTTATTAATACGTTGTTTTCTTGTTTGAATCTAGCATATGACGACCAATGTTTATCATCGTTTTAGAGATAAATATTATGCCTACGTTGGGAGACAGCCACATAGGCGTCGAATAACAACAATTTTTAGACGGAAGGTCAGTAAACACAATTCAAGGCTGAGAGGCGGGACTCAGACAAAATTCGCACGTGCAGATCCTCATTGGCTCGGAAGGCGACTCATCCCACGTTTCTGGTCACGCCACTACCTTCGATTGGTTGGCTTCTTTTCGCGTAACACGCGATGTCATAGACGGCTCAAACTCCGCCGCATCGACTTCGCGTTGTTCTGATGATGACGATTTCGTTTCTAGCGCAGTTTGTCGAAACGTCGCAGTGCCCGTTTTCTGCGTATGTGCTTGCAATAAATAGAGAATCATTTCGCCGCTCTGCTCAGTTAATATTCCACAGCAGTACGTATTCAGGAAGGTAAACCTACTCGGTGACGTCGTGACTTGTTTTGTTTTATGTGCACGCACTTCTCTTCGTCTCTGTGCGTAATTGACACTACTTTCAACAGATAATGTCTCTCAGCAAAGCAATCAGACAGTATGATCGCTGTATGTGTACAACGCGCAGGTATGTAGCATATTTTCAAAGTATTTGCCCAATGTAACAGACTAATAAAAATAGCGCAGTATAAATAAGCGATGAAATGTATATAAATTATGGGTTCATTATTTTATTGCGTCAAATAAATGTGAAAGTAATCATACAATCAAAAGCAATACGGAATCATAATTAAAATTGAATTTAATTCTCTTCATTGTTACACATAGTTATTTTTGTTGTAAGTCGTCGGAATTTGTTTGCGTCCCAAAAGAGGAACTGTGGATTCCTACATATATTCTCGTGAGGATTTTGAATGGCAGTATCATACCCATTATTAAAATCCGTAACTCCAGTATATCTCCTAAGCAGTACTGCCTTCACAAAGTATAAATCTAATTGATAACTTTCAGTGTCAACAACTGACAACGCCATAGCTTTGTCTCACGCATGTCTATAGAGAACAGTTTTATCACACATAAGGCAGATTGAAGATTTGATTGTCCGTATTTTTCCCATTATTATCTGTATATTTATATTATGAGTAACAATTCGTTTGGCTGTTAATAATTAACTTGTGCTGTAGCAGATATCAAATGTAAATAAAGTTGGCTACAATGGAGTGTGCCGTACAATTTTACGTTTGACGTCAAGTTTTATATTAAACAGCTGTTGCGTGTGTCAGTGCAGAAACAATGCATCCTGACGTTGAAATATCTTTTGGCATGGATTGAAGAAGAATAAAAGTAACATTTGAGAAACTGCGTACTTAGCGGTGTAGAGTGTGTAAACTTTTGTGCTCGATATCAGTAAAATAACCACTTTGTGATTTCGTTTCAGATTTTACAATGCCCAAAGTGCTAGTCCAGAGAATTCAACAAACGAATCTCTTAAAATGTCTTTAAGTTCACAACTGAGAGTGATGTCTGTGAACCAGTGGAAACTTTTAAGCCAATTGAAAGATTACATAAGCAAAACTTCTAATGAAAAAATTTCTTTAAATAAAGAATGGATATCTCTTCTTCATAAAATATCATCCATTACTGGTCAGGCCGAAGAAGCTATCAGAAAAGGTCTTGACAATGCATCAGTTACAAAAATTGAAAGTGATGAAGTGACGAGCCCTACAACTCAAACTGCAGATACCTCTAATAAACAAAATCAGACGACTTTTCCTCAAGTTCTCAATGGCTTAAAGCTAAAGATGAGTCCAAAGGCTTCTGTTGAAACAACAGAAGACTTGACACCAAAATGGAAGTCTAAAAAAGATGTTGTATCACTGGTAATTTTTATTTTTTAAATTTTATTTTAAATTATTTTTGTTGAATTATGTATTATATTCTAGTGTGTATATGTTATTATTCTATTGTATTTCTACTTTTCTTCAGACTAGTATTGGCTCAAGAACTAGGCATGTAATTTCTTCTGTTGCATCTGCTGAAAGTACTTCTTCTCGACTTAAAAGATTGGAAAGTCTTGCAAATCATTTACATCAATATCCTGAATCCAGATACCTAGCTGTCAAGGTTGTTGGATCTTCTTTGAAATCCTTATAAAACTAACATTTATTTATTATATAATTTGAACAGATGTGGTTAACATGCTAATTTTTGCATGTTAGGAAGGAGCTATACGTTTGTTGCTGAGACTCAGGCAGGAAACAAAGGATGAAGAGACCCTTGCTGCTCTTCGAGAAGGCCTGACCATTTTAGGTTACGTTGATCCTCTGCCTGGACATGGAATTCGCATTCTGTCAATTGATGGAGGAGGTATTCGGTAAGGATAGAATTATTCAATTAAGAATTGATCTAATTGTTGTGCAATTGTGTCATCCTTGCAAATGCCCTAATATTGAAACTGTATATTGTGCCATTTTCAGAGGTCTCCTTGTTATTGAAATGCTGAAAAAGCTTGAAAAATTGACAGGGAAACGTCTATATGAATTATTTGACTTTATTTGTGGTGTTAGTACAGGAGCAATTATGATAGGAGTAATAGGTAAGTTTGCTAATGTTTTGAAAAATATTTGGTCAATTCATGTATTTATGTACAAATCTTCATGGAATAACTGTATGGGTTTCTCAGCTGCTCAAAAAAAACCATTGGATGAAGCATCTTTTCTTTACAAAGAAATGAGCAAGAAGATTTTCAATCAGAGTGCTTTCTGGGGTACCAGCAGTCTTGTGTGGAGTCATTCATATTACAGTACAGACATGTGGGAGGAGCTTTTGAAGAAATATGTCGGTGAAATAGAAATGATAAAGACAGCAAGAGATCCTCTCATTCCGAAGGTATTGTGTTTGATAATCTAAAATAAATTGTCACAAAAGATGAAATCTGCTAGGATTTGTCTATAGTATCATTTATACATCACAAAACATTGAAAAATTGCCTATTGCTTATATACTGTGGTGTTCTTAAGAGAGACTTGATTAGAAGTATGTAAGAGTAACTACTAAAGAAGTAGAACTTCTTTATAAGATTGAGGAAGAACAATGTTTTCAGATTGCAGCAGTTTCAGCTGTTGTAAATCAAGAACGTGTAATGTCCTTTGTATTTAGAAACTACTCTCTACCTTATAAAGTGCAATCACAGTATATGGGAAGCAACCAGTACAAGATGTGGGAAGCTGCTCGCGCTTCAGCTGCTGCTCCTTCGTACTTTGAAGAATTCCGTTTGGGAGATTACCTTCATCAGGTATTCTATATTTATCTTATTGTGAGACTAGCATCAGATTTATTAACAACTTTCTTTTGTTTGCTATATAAAGCAAGTTATTGTTAATGTACTTCATTGCATATAATTATTGAATGTTAATTTTTGTGCTAGTAAAGGTATCAATTTTCTTTAATTAAGCACAATTATGTTTTATGTTCTTACCGATGATAATGGTGATGATGATGATGATGATGATGATGTTATGAAAGCACTAAGATAGTTAATCATTACCAGGGCTCGGATTCTGATGATTTAAAAATTCTCTGAAAATGACCTTTAAAAAGTGTTATATAGTAATAATTTTAAGAGGAAATGTAATCCTTAGCTCTGTCTTTCAACCGTTGGTTTTGAAAGATCAAGGAAGTTCCCGAAGATTCGTGTAATTTTCAGAGTCCAATGTTGTCAATAATGAATTTTGTCATGAACTGATGATCCAATAAAAAAATGTTTTAGTGAGCAATTGTAATTTTATGAATAATTCATAAACAAAAAACACAAAAAGTGGGGGAAATGTGTAAAAGTCACAAAAATGACCAAAAAAAAAAAAGACCTAAAAATGGCAAAAAAATTACCCAATATGTTTCCATTTCATGTATATCATTATAAACACTCATTTACAAGTTAGCTACGTCTACAATGCACTAATAAAATGATGACATGTCATCAGTATCAGAGTCCTGATCATTTCCTTGCAATTTGCATAACATCATTGAAGTAAATGGTGTAAGTAAATTTCTAAATTGGCTGCTTGTTGTGATTTCTTTTCTTTCCATTTTAGAAGAAACATATAATTTTTGCTATTTGAAATAACCATTTAGTTATATTAAGGATATGATGGAAACTTGATTTATTTTTTCTTTTGATCACAGGATGGAGGAATTCTCACAAACAATCCTTGCGCAGTTGCCATTCATGAATCCAAGCACTTGTGGCCAGGGGCCCCGCTGCAGTGTGTTGTTTCCCTGGGCACGGGACGTTGCCACCCAAGTGCCCAACCTCCTTTGGACCAGAAAGCAAGTAGTGCTTCATCTTGGAAAACAAAATTCATGAAAATTCTGGATAGTGCAACAGATACAGAAGGTTTGTAACTTCACATTGTTTGATCTTTCACAGATCTGTGTATCTGTAAAATGCTTATTTACTTGGTGAGGCTTAAAGTAGAAATATTTCTTCTTTCCTTGCTCTTGAAAGTGTAAATCTTGTTATGTAATTGCAGTGAAGTTAAATCAATTCACACAAGACATGATTTATTTACAAATGCACATAAAAAGAATTGATGTTGGCAATTTTTTTCTGTATTTATTTTGGTATGATTTTGTATTTTGTAAATAGTTAAGGTTTTAAATATCCTCAAGGAATTATGTTTATAAACATTGTGTGGACATTTCTAGTTGATAGTTCTATCTTCATCATATATCTAAATGATAGATGACGAAGGGAAAGAATTGGTAAAAGAACACAATTTTTTTAATTGACAAAATCCTTTTAACAAAATAAAATGTCATTCTTGACAAGATATTACTGAAATAACTTTTTAAAATAAGTAAGCAGGTAAGATATATTTACCTCTAATGTTATTTGTAGGTTCAAATTCTGATATTCTGAAAATTTTGTGAAATTGTTTATTAAAGGATCTGAAATTAGTATATCTAAAAAATGCTCAAAAATGAGGAAATGTAATACATTAGTATTAGTAAAAATGATGATGTAAATTTTGTCGTCAAAATAAACATTTAAATTATATACTACGCTAATTTTAACAGAAATTCTTAAGAAGTGTCCCAAAATGTACTCTCAAAGAGCGAGGGGTTATTATTCCAATTTTTTGACATTATTGTATATGCAGTTTTTATTTTTTTTTATTGGAACAACTTACTAATTTGGAAAACGGTCTCAAAACTAATACCGATAAAAATGGTGTAAAATATAAAAATAAAGAATATGAGAAAGTTCTGCACAATTAACGTTTAAAAAAAAAAGAAAGAAAAAGGGGATCTAAATTAAAATGTCTATCTTTAGATGAGTTATGATAAAAAGAGTTTTTGTAACTTATTATATTTTTTTTATATAATAACTTTTTTCCAGCTGTTCACACTATTTTAAATGATCTGCTTCCTGAAAATGTGTACTTTCGGTTTAATCCATATGTAACGGAAATGGTCACAATGGACGAAATAAGACCTGAGAAGATTAGCCAGTTAGAAATGGATGCAGAGATGTATTATCGTCGAAATGAAGAAATATTTCAAGAAATTGCTACTGCCTTGACACAACCTGCTACCAGAATGCAGCAATTTCAGAATTGGATAAATCTTCAGCGAGAATTACTTGGTTTTAAATGATTCTTTTTTTTTAAAAACAAAACTTCTGCATTTTTGGATCACTATATTTTCACATTTATATTTGTAATCTATAAATCAGTATTTTAATATGTATTGTATTATTTATTGCTTGTGTGTTGATGTACGAACAAATGTTATTTATATTACTTTATTATTACCTCACTTGTAGTTCCTGATTTATATTTAGTTCATGGCATTTTTGAATTATTTTTCTTCAGGCTTATGAAATTCTTTTATGAAGTTTTTGAAGACTATGAACAATGTATAGTGTGTGATTTCTAGTTATGCAAATGTTAATATTTATCTGATTTTATAGTTTTATATTTCAACCTACTGAAGATATTAACTGTGATATAATTTTTATTTTATTAATTACAAAGCTAATTTTAGGACAAAGGAAATTGTTTTGTATGTTATTCTTATCTTTTGTAAATTTGTTGGCGTTTTCAATTATGTACAGAACAATGTACAGAATGTTGTAGGTATTATTTATATTAGGTTTTAATGCATTCTTGTTTCATCATGTATAAATGTGTACATGAAAAGAAGCAATATGAGATTCATAAAATTTTGTTGTTTTTAGAGTGTATATTGTGATTCAGACCTTGAAACAATTAAAAATATATGGTAAACATCACAAAAAATCCTCAATGATAAATAATAACCTGTGTCCTTTTCACTTTATTACAAGAATTACACTGTCCTGGAAAAAATTCTTCTCATGGCTTAGCATAAAGCAAGAAAGTTAATATATCAACATTTTACTTCAAAAATTACAAGTTAATGTTCAATAAAGTAACATTCAAACCAAAAAATAAGTTAAAATGTGTTATTTCGTTGAAGATTTTTCAGATGTGCGTACGTATTATACTTTGTAAATACGTGCAGGCATTTATACGGTTTTTAACGTTTTACAAAAGCTGCACAGGAAAGTAATGTTTGTATCATGCCACCACCAAACGATAGTTCACCCGTAGCGGTGTGCTGTCGTTTTTAAATTTGGAGCCACGTGTTTCCCGCCCCGCCCCCTTCGCTCGCGACCAATGGGAATTGCCACATCACGCAGACGGCGCAGGAGCTGAGAGCGCTGTGGCAAAAACGCCAGAAATGAAAATATGGCGTCCTCTCAAGACGCCTGGTATCTTTCATTATTAGGTTTAGCGGAAAATTTCCGGACGTCGAGCCCCCCGAACATCAAATTGTGTATCCAGTGTTTGCAAGCTGTTTTCAATTTCAAGCCACCACCTCGAGTGGAGGCGCGGACTCACCTACAGTTGGGAAATATTTTGTTAACTCATACGAAGAACATTGATTTAGCAAGAAGTCATTTGGAACAAGCGGTAAGATATACGCAAGAGCATTAAACTCGTGTGCAAAATTAATGTTAGATTTGAGTGACGGATATGGTGATAATATCCATGTGTGAAATGCTGCAGTGCGACTGTGTATTAGTGCCTGACAGTGGGTAGCCTGTGGGGTATTAAGTAGGTCTCCAGTTGGCCCTGGGTTTCTCTCTCTATTCCCACAATAATTCCATGTGTTGTGAATATTTTATAGTGTGTGTCGTTTCTGAAATTACAGTGGTTACTTTCTCAAATTATAAATACGTTTGACGACGTTAAATTTGAAGCAGCAAGTGTCCTAGCAGAGTTGTACGAACAACAATCTCAATCAAATCTTTCAAAACCAATCCTCAGGAAAGCTATTGAACTTTCTCAACATAGTGTATATTGGCATTGTCGACTGATTTTTCAATTAGCGGTGAGTAGGCATGTGCAATGTGAAAATTTGGATGTTGAGAGTTGCGACAACTGCATTTTAATCCAGTGTTTATTATATGCCTATAGCAAATACATGCAAGTGAAAGAGATTATGAAGTTGCTAGTAGCCTTCTCGGTGTTGGAGTGGACTATGCACACATTTCCAATGCTGCTTATACTAGAGTTTTGTTCTTACTTAGCAGAGGAATGGTAAGTGTAATATTTTTTGGAAACAGAAGAAATATTCTAGGATAAAAAAATATTTAAAACAAATTGTGACACTGTGGTGAATTTCTCTTATGAATATCTAAAAAATTGTGTTTGTTTATATTGCTTTCAGCTTCTCTTGATAGATAAGAAATTTCAGGAAGTACATCCTCTGTTAAATCAAGCTGGACATTTGGTAGATGGATGGCAAGGTAGCCAGCATCAGAAGGAATACCTTAAAGTGTTCTTTCTTGTTTTGCAGGTCAGTTAAACTAATGTATTCAATGCGGCAGTGCGAATTAATTAGGAATATTAAATTTGTTTATTTTTGTTTCTAGGTTTGCCATTACTTGATGGCTGGTCAAGTGAAAAGTGTTAAACCTTGCCTCAAACAGCTCCAGCAAAGCATTCAAACAATTATGCAGCCAACGTGGCCAGCAGATGAGAGTATGATTTTTTTTATGAATATGTATACTTTTGTTGTTTTGAAGAGAAAATGTGTATGTACTCTTAATTTCTCTTAACTTTCTGGAGAAACTGTGTTTTGTAGTATTGATAAACATTTGTAGTTAACATTGACTTTACCTTTAATAGTGAATTCATTGAGGGAAAATTATTCATTGTAGATGTAGTGGTAGGATGCTCACCTCTTAACAAATAAACTTAATTTATATGATCAACTACAATATTTTGAAAGTTGTAAGTTGCAGTTTACTTTTAGTACATGTCATTTAAGAGTTTCTAATTCAGAAGTCTTGGTACAGAAATTAAACTCTTGGCTCTATTTTGTATTTATACATTAGTATACATGTATTATATAACTTGTGTACGTTTTGCTATTTATTGTTTTATTATTCGCTGTGTTAAAAGTAATGGAATTCAAGATTGTCAGAACAAACATATTGAGCCAAGAAAACATTTGTAACGTCATGAATTGTTTCTTGTTCTAGTTGTTAGTGGACCTAATGTTGGTGATATGTTTATCTGGATGCCTAAAGAACATTTATATGTTCTTGTGTATTTGGTAACTGTGATGCATTCGATGCAAGCAGGATATATGGACAAAGCACAAAAATACACAGACAAGGCACTCATGCAGATTGAAAAACTTAAGAGTAAGCATTTTTTTGTTTTTGTATTACAGTAATATCAGAGAGACTATTTACTGTTACTTTTTATGTTGGTGTTAAATATGAAAACAATTTTTCAATCTGATTTTTTTACGCTATTCATACCATAGTTAATATCGTTAATGAACTACCATTGTTGTTCCATCCACTGAGGACCACCAAAAATTTTTCTCTTATTTGTCATACACATGTACATTTTTATTTTCTTAAATTCTATCAATTCAATTAAAAATAACAAATATAAAAGTATTGTAAGGAGTTACTTGGTTGGGTAATACCTATTAATTTGGTTTATTGAAAAGAAAGTTTACCTTTTATGAGTAGGGTTGCCATAAGGGCAACAATGGAATTCAGCCCAGACAAAATATATTTCAGAGCAAATTGTTTATTTTTATACAACTAAATAGTATTAAGTAAGTTGTATAACAAAGAAATAGTAAATCTCGAGTAAACAACTAAATAGTAAATCAAGATAAATTACATTGCTCACTTGCAAGAATAACAAGGTGATCACTCTTTCTAGGATGAATTTCCCTGATGCTTCCAGGTTATCTAGAATTTTCTTATTTGTCTGTGACAAAATTTGTGAAGTATTTCAGAGTATTTAAATAAAATATTAAATCAAACATGAATGTGGTTGATATTTAAACACTTTTACTCACTGGGCCTTCTTTGCCTTTGCATTCCAGATTCTTTTATACTTTGTGAGAGAGGCAGATGCACTTTGATTCAAAACACACAGTACTTTTTAGTTCTCAGATTGTACCATAAAAAGACATAAATAACAATATTTGTTTAACAGAGGAATTAGCTGCTTGCTTTCTCTATGTAGCACATAGGTCTTTAATATAGTTAACGAGTAGTCTCCAAAAGCAGTTTTTTGGAGGTTTGTGTTAAATTATATGAGAGAATAAAAATTCAGGACATTTGGCAGAACTAAAGAAAAATCTGGCAGGACTTCAGGACTTGTCTATATTCAGGACATATCCCACTGTTTTAGAATATGAGGCGACTCTTTTTATAAGGAAATAATATTGTTCTTTCAAGTTTTCTATGTTACTATTCTACTGTGGTTTTTCTAATGCCATATTGTGTTTTCAATGCAAGGTTAATGGTAATACTTTCTTTTTGTTCAGTTGTGGACAACAAGCCAATCCTTTCAGTTTTTCAACTGATGTTATTAGAGCACATCATTATGTGCCGACTTGTAATGGGCAATAAGTCACTTGCTCTGCAGGAAATCTCTCAGGCTTGTGGACTTTGTCAGCAACAACCACGCTTGTTGCTCACACATCGGCCTCAGCTACACACCTTGCTGGGTCTCTATGCGATGAGCATGAATTGCATGGAAGCAGCAGAGGCTCAGTTCATGGCAGCCTTGAGGGTAAGTATAACGTGTATACGCTATCAGAAGAGACTATGCTCATATGCACTAAGAGAATCAGCCATTTTAAAATATATTCCATGAAACGATATTGAATGTTTTTCTGTATCAGCAGGCCCAAAAGTTCCCAAGCACTCGGGCTATGACAATTGTACTCTTCCCCAGCTGTCTGGCTCAGGACCAAGATTACCTGCTCTGGAGCAGTATTCTAGTATTGGTTTCATGCTACACAATCTAACAAATGGTTTAACAAATATAGGCTTTAACCACATTAGCGTCATTCTACAGAATGTGTCATTTACATTAAAATACTGGGAAGACTCCACTGGATTTTCATCAAATTTCAGACAGTAGGGGTAACACATTTCTCCATTACATATTTGTGTTTTCTAAAATTGCCCTGGCTTGTGATTAATTCTACTTCTAAGCTGATAACATTTCTTTTGTCACGTCATCTGGTTCATCCAGTGTCTTGATATGTTTGTCTCAAGCACTTACTTCCCTGTTTCTCGTAGAAGTCAATCTTGTGTGTGCTGGGCTCTTGAATTGCACTAGTTTATAAATGCCTTCTTGTTGATGTATTCCTGCTAGCAATTTTCAAACTGCCATCACTAGCTGATCCTTTCGTTGCCAGTTTGTCAGATTATGATTTACTTTCCAGACCAAGTGCCTGAGAGTCCAGACAGATATTTCCCTCTAGCTTGGTCATTAATGTACCTTAAATTATGTCGCCTAATTTCAACTTGCAGAATATATCAATGTTGGTGCAGGTCACACCATTTGATTCTTACTTTCTGAATCACTAGGTGTTCTGCACATTTGCAATGATGACCAATTCACCTCGAAAACCGTTATAATCTATCTTAGTTTGATGGCCATAGAAATGTGCACTTCTGTCGTTATCTATTGTTGAAACATCAGTGAACCAAATGTCACCATATTTTGATTCAAAGACCTTCCAATCTCTCTCAGGGATAAAGACTGATGTTATTTCTATGAAATTATAAATATGTTCTAGGAATGTGTATTCTTTTTATATGTTGCATAGTACACTTTCTTCCTTGTTTATGTACTACTTGAACAATAAATGTCCAAATCTGTAGTAATTTTACAGAAGTAAAAAATGAAGGAAATTTTGTTTAAGAGAAATTTATTTTGCAAACAAAAATGCAATACTTTGCTATTTGTTTCTCTATTGGTAAGCTTCCTAATTCAACCATGGAAGACAATTTGTGATATCATCTGTGTCACTTGTGTACATCCTTGTAATTAATTAAAAGCATTAATTTATCTCCATGAAGCAAGTGCTCCTTCACTGGTAAACTGCATGTAGCCAAGTAAAGGCTGTGCAGTGTGTGGCCTCTGCTCAAAAGGAAGATCTGAATGCAATGAAACATTTCTATTAATCCCTGTGAATTATTCAATTAATTATCACAATGTTCCTGTTGCAGGGAGTTACACAAATGTTTCTAATGCAATTTGACCACTCTTATATTTTTCTTTGCCTTCGACAGTTTTCGCCGTACTGCTCGTGCATCCTACAAATAACCTTTGCTGGTTTCTCATCCCAATTGCCACATCATTTGATTGATCACACTTCAATTTTGTCACATTTTCTCAAATTTTGAGAAAATATTTGTGTTATTTCATACATTCTCAATACACGAAGTCCCATGAATACCATTGTCTTTTGCTTTGAAGGCTATTGACTCTAAACTATTTTAAGATGACAATTGTTTTTGTGTTGCAGACATCCCAGGAGAGAGAATTGTGGACGTTTGCGAACTTGAATTTGGCCATTGTGTACCTGCGAGCCAAGCGAGAACAAGAGTTTGCTGCTCTTCTTGAGAGAATCAATCCAGAAAATCTACCTTCTCACTCTCACAGTCTGAGAGCTGCTGCTTATTATGTACAAGGCCTGCAGTCATTTTTCCAGGCTAGGTACAACGAAGCCAAGTAAGTATTATTAGAGTTCTTTACTATGTGGTCTGTAACAAGACAAAAAAACATGCTCAAGTTTTTCTAGAAATTCTTTATTTTTCTCTTGGAATTTTTTGAACTAAGTTTCTTTCTTTCAACTTTCTGCAATTTATTTTACTTTATGAATTCTTTAAGCAATTAATGTAGTTTATTCCCGCAACTTAATTAGTTGAATCAAGAAATTCAAATGTTCAGTAAAATTATTGTTTATTATTATTATTATTATTATTATAAAAATTGTCTTGTAAGATGATGGAGATTGTTGTGATGAATTAATTTTACATTTATAATTTTATCCTTCAGAAATCATCAGAGAATATGCCAACACCTTTGATTTCAAAATATGTATTAAAATTCATTTAAACTTCTAAAGTTTTTAAAACAAAATGTAAAGTAATAGTTCTGAATCATCTGGCATTACAAGGCTAATTGGCAAAAATGTGATTGTGGGAGATTACCAAGGCAATTGTTTTCCAAACTGGATTTGGAAACAATAAATGTCTGAGGCATGTGTTTGTAAGGTTCACAGAAGAAAATTTCACAGAAAAAAAGTATTTTTGATTGAGCAGAGAAATTTGCATTTTAATGTACATAAAATTGAAGAAAGAAAAAAAACACAAGAATACGAGTCAGGTTGAAGAAATGTACTAATGGCGGGAAACCAAGATCTGATTTAACTCTTCACAGTAATCTTGTAAGAAACAATTCTCTTGGGTGTCCTTTACAAGGGGTGCCTTACAAGTAGAGTCCCGTCTAAATTTTGTTTTCCTATCTTTACTGAGCTACTCTAGGTAATGGATGTAATACTTTACCTAATCTAGTTTGAAGTTACTACAACCAGGCTGATTCTGGACTTACTTGACCGGTGGGTTTTTGCAATCCCCCTTCTTAACTCTTCTTGGACAAGAATTGTTTTTTATCAATAATTTGGAATTTATTTACGTTTTTTTAGTAGACAGCTTTGGTTTAGGTCCCTAAAAAAGTTTAAAACATTAGACAACGTACCAGTGAGGAGTGTGTGATGATCATACTTGTCCTTTAGGATGATAACTTTATTTTGGTTGAAAGAGAGAAAATAATCAACAAGCATGCATTTATTTGCAAAACATAGGCACATGTTCAGTACAATGACTATAATATCAGTGGTAAATAATTAACACTTCTCTATATAGTTCTTTTAAAAAACTTTGTATTCAAACATCAAAAATCTAGTATTCATTTTTCTGCATGAAACTTTATATTGCATTTCAAGCTTAAACAAAAACATTTCATATCCATTGATACAATTAGACTGTTGCATCCATTATTTGCACACCTCTCTTTATTTTCCATTTTCTCAAGTTGATCAGTTCTATCATAGCAAACGTTATCCAAAACTTACATTGAGCTCTTCGATGATAGAGCTGTTGGATCCACAGATTTGACAGCTGTTTTATATCTGGTGATGTATGTGATGGCAGTTTCTTCTCAATTCCTGTTCCATCATTTTCCTTCCTGTCATTTTGTAAATAGGCCTAGCGTTATATATTGCTGCATTTATGAGCAACATCAAGGTTGCCCAGTACCATTACTTACTCCTGATAGATATACGATTCTGGTTTTTATCTTCACACATTTGATCATCCATCTATATTTGTATTATATGTGCTAATACTTGCTTGCTGAGGGACATTTATATGTTTTTTACTATCTTGACTTTACTTTGTAAGAAAATAAATATTTTTTTTCTTTCACAGGAAAATAGCGAATTTTTGACAGAAAATCTCTTATTACCAAGTCCTGGTACCACAAATGTGGATACATTTTGTTCCTGTGTGTAGTAAATTACTTCCTCTAATATGTGTAGTTCAGAATCTTATTTTTGTGGGTCCTTGATATGGAAAAATAGATTGATGGAAACATGTGTCTGTCTGTCTGTTGTCAATGCTAGTTCCTATTCCATTCAGACCCTTTTCAGTAAAGTCAATATTCCCGATTGATTTAAAGGAACTCAAGGTCCTGCGAGTTTAATAATTTAACTTTTGATTGTAAATTAGATGAAGCATTAAATACATTTTCAAAATTTTCTCAAAAATGGCTCACAATTTTTTAAATATATTTTGTACTCAGTACTCATACTGTGAAAGAGGCTTAAAAGAATGGCACAGGTCTCATTGAACTCCCTGATCATTTTAAAATTGCACAAGTTCAAACTTTTTTTCAGTTGTCCTCCAAGTATAACGTTGAAGGTGAAGATGTTTTTTTCCTTAATAAAATCTTGTAGAAAAACAGATCTTGAAATAAAGTCATTCACCGTTTTTCAAAAACTTTAGTCGTTTTCGCATAAATTTGCATGAAATTTAGGCAAATTTTAAATACTTATTTTCTCACAAATGGCTCCAAATTTTTTCTTTAAATTTTATCATCATAGAAAAACTGTCTCCTCCTCATGTGCTTCAAACTGCTGCAGCATTTATTTGCAAATTCCCACCATATTTTGTTCTCCTTTCTTTAATCAGTGTACCAGACGCAATATAATAATATTCTCACTACTACTGCAAACTATCAACATCATTCTATGGTCAACAAAATCAAAATATCTGAAATTTTTCTTGCTCTTAAGTTATTTGAGCAGTGGTAAGAGCGCTGTAGCAGATAAGGTCCCCAATATTTTTTTGAGCAATTGCAAATTTGTTTTGGTGCCACAGCTATATTATATTTTTAACCAATCCTTGGACATGGGGATTTTCCACTCAGCTTTGAAATTTAGAAAGTTATTCGTATCGTCAAGAAAGATGAGGAAAGCGATATTTCAAATTTGCCATTCTATTTCCAATCTCAGTACTGGTCACAACTTTTTGAAAAACTTGTGGTTAAAGCTTTACCATTAAACTTGCCACATTTTTTCAGACTATCAACATAGTTTTACTTACAACTAATTTAGCTACTAAAATACCTACGAAAATAGGGAGAACACTGTCACTCTTCCCTCATGGCTGAGAAATCCAAAGGATTTTTTTTTCTTTCTTTTTTTCTAAACGTCCATCTGTCTGTCCTTCTGTCTGTGAACACTAATAGCACCTAAACCATAGATACTTTCTTTTTTTTCCAAATTGAAGAAAAACTTGTCCATCTGGCTCAAATCGAAGCATTGAGATTTTGTAAAACTTTCTTTCAAATTTGAAGATACTTTACATAAAACCCCTGGGCATTTTCAAAATTTTATCAAAATCAGCTCAAAATTGTTTCTTTAAATTTCTTGTTAGAATAGAATAAAATACGCTAATATACGTGACACAGGTCCGACTTTTCCACTTAATTCTGAATTTTCAAAAATTGCAAAACTTTCAACCTTTTTCAGCCTCTTCCTACAACTACAGAATTGAAATAGGAGATTTTTGCTACAAATGAAATTTGTTCTTTCATTAAGGTCATGTACAATTTTCTGAAAATTTTGGTAGTTTTCACCCTATTTTTGTAAGATCTCAGAAGATGTAATTGAAATTTTTTTGAAAGATCTCTCGTGCCATTAATGTGTGCATTTACAGCAATTTGTAAACACTATTGTATTTTTGAGATAAAGTGCTTCAAATGTCTTCTATTGAAGTTTTTCTAAAACTCAAAAATGTTCTATCAACAAGAGCTTCAAATTTCAAAATTACAAAAGTGCTTGGTTGCCATTTTCTAAAAACGGCTCCAAATTTTTCGTAGAAAATTGTCATTTACAATGTGGTTTTACTATTCTCCAAATATTTTGGTTGTACTATTAGGAATTCAAAGGAAAAAAATGGCAAAAAAATATACTTTGGACAGTGATACCTGACAGCTGGCAAGAGTATGTGGAAAGTCCAATTGGCTAGCTGTGACCAAAGAAAATAGAAAACTAATACGGGAACGTCTGTGCCATTCTGTAATACAATTAGTTTTTTTTTATTGAAGGTCACATCAACAGCTAGATAGCAACCATATGGTACCCTTTGTGCACCCTTTTGTGTAATGTTATGTAAAATGAAAAATAACATCACTATGAACATTTGTAAAAATTAATATCATTTATGTGCAAAAAATTATTAATCCTATTATTAATAATAAGCTTTTCACACACACAAATGCAAATACGGAGTGAAGTATTTTTCTCTTAAATGCCAAGTTTGTTATAAAACTTCTAAGAATTTTTCATTTTGTAGTGTAGGACATAGAAAACAAAACTCATGCTCCTTGGGGGTCACAGAAATTAGGGTTTAAGCCCCTAAAATGCATTGTGTTTTAGTTATGTTCTATGTTTGGTTGTGTGTTGCAGCAGATTGCGTCAGCACACTAAATTTTTTTATTTAATTGAATATGTTTGTAACATATATTTTGTATATAAATGTTAGCTTTCTGCTCTCCTCCATATAAACTTTAACTAAGGCAAATCACACTCCTCTGTGCGCCCAATATACTTAAAGGGGGGTACAAAGTTTTCTCTTTGTGTAATAATATATAGAGTATCGTTGGTTGCAAATTTTAAAAAATGAAGCATTTCAAGTGATATTGGAAGTAAAATGTTAAAATGTTTACTTATTAGATGTAATGGGATCTTTTTTATTATTTTTACACAGGTTTCAATTTCTAAATATCCTCTTTAAACAAGAAATTTTACTCATCAACATTGAACACATTGTTATTCTGTGGCAGGGTAAATGATTTAGTACATTGACCATGAAGATTGTAAGACCTCACTGTCTACATGACATAGATCAAATTGTGTTCATAACCGGGAAACAAATTACTAAAAAAAATTTAACATGGGGGAAAGACTTACCTTTGTAATGTACGTACTATGTATCAGTTATTTTGGGAAGAAAAAAATTACAATTGAGTAATTTCTCAATATCCTGAGCTCTATTATAGATTTTGTTGTCTCCAAAAATGCTTTCAGGGACCTGACACTGTCAAATCAAGAAGAAAAGCAAGTATTATCTAATGAGGCAAAATAGCCAACTTATGCAAACGAATATATTAAAAAGAACCACTTATTTACCTTCATATTGAAATAAAGTTCTGTTATGTCATTTTGGGGCAATTTTTCCCAATACATATTATTCTGCTGATTACTGAAGTATGTGGAACTACTGTGAAACTTGTGAATTAATGATTTGGGTGTGGTAGCTTAATGACAGTTGTAAATAAGATTATCAATTATTATTTTTGTAATTACATTCCAGGGTAGTGCATTGAAGTTGTCAAGACATATCATTCTAGAGTGTTAGAAGTATGATTATGAATTTTTTCTGTTTTCTTTTACAGGCGGTATCTTCGGGAAACTTTGAAGATGGCTAATGCAGAGGATCTGAATAGATTGACATCTTGTTCTCTTGTCCTTTTGGGACACATTTTCTTGTCCCTTGGAAATAGCCGAGAGAGCATGAACATGGTGACCCCTGCAATGCAGTTAGCAAGCAAAATCCCTGATGTTCATGTACAACTTTGGGCTTCTGCGATTTTAAAAGGTAAAAAAAAACAGCATGTCATATTGTAATTGTTGAATTTGGTTTTATTACTCAGTGATTTGGTTTTCTGTAAAAGGTGATCTATATTGAGAACCAAAGCAATTCCAGGGGTAAATAAATAAAGGTATCTGACATTTCACATTTCTGTTTGGATGGAACAAACTCCTCAAACACAATCATTACCATAGTGTGTCTGTTCTTGAAATCATTTGATTTAGTTTGTTAAAGAATAGTATAAATTATGTGTGACATATGGGGCAGAAGTACAATCTGCACATTTTTCTTGAGGTCCATAATCTTTAACCATAAATAGTTGAATGATAAAAAAGTATCAACAAAGCAAGATTAGCATCATTAGAAAACTAGCCATTTGGACATTTGAAAACTATATATTTGGAATATAGAAAGAGCTACTCCTTTTTCCTATACGCCAATAATGTTCTTATTACCCAAAATGCAGGTTATTTACGTCTGAATACTTCGGTTATTGATAAATTGTCACTAAAGATACATGAAAAAGAGTGAAAGCTAGACATGTGTGGAACTTCCATAAAAATTTTCATCTGTTAGAGAATTTAAAAAAGGACTCCATTAACTCCTGTTCACAAGCAAAACACTGCTCTTGGTAACAATAAGGTTCTGATAGATTAGATGTATGTATGTACTTGGCGCAACAACCCGTGAACGGGCTCAGGCCTACCGGCGACATCCCTGCCTGACAGTCATGCGTTAAAGAGGTATGTGTGGTTAGCACGTAGACATCCCCTTGCCATATTTTGGTCTTCTCATCCTGAGAAGTGAAATTTTTCATCATCACACACCAGTCTTGGCTCGATTTCCCTGGATATAGTCAGGGTAAATGTTTACTAATTCATGTATTTTGTCAATTCAGATTTCAAAGAATAGACACTTAAATAATATATCACCTAGGTACTTCTACCAGAAAACAGTTTATGTTGGAAGACTTCAATATTTCAATGTTATATATGCAGAATATTTATTTTCAATGATATCTGATGATGAGCTATGCATAATATATTTCACTTGTTGATGTGTATTTACACGTGTTTATATATTTCAGATCTCTATCGTTTGTGTGGTGACCCTGTTCGTGAGAATGAAGCATTCCAAATGCATTGCAACTTCTCACAAATGTTGCTCAAAGACCATTTCCAGTCATCTCAGATGGCAGAGCACAACCTCATTCACTGGACGGAGGGTGGCTTCCCTCTACTAGTGAGCAACCCACCCAGCACCTCGGGTGCTCTTCTATGAGGCCCTCAAGTGCCCTGCTCAGTCTGCGCAAGCAAATATGTACATAGATATACATACACACTATATTTTTTGTTTTAATAGTTTGCCCACGGAGACATTTGTGCTTGTCTTACTTTGGCCCGGTGCAGAAATTGTGTTCAGTGGAGGGCCAGGACTGTGTTCAAGTGAGTTTGTTTGAGAGTTTTATCAAATGGTCAGTGCATCTTTGCAATAAGGCATAATCTGTTCTTATTTTCCAACAAACTTTTCCCTGCAGCAGCATTGAGGATATTAAATCCCATTTCATATCAGTATTGACTGAATTTTGTGATATCTATGGCAACTCATTTAGGGAAATGGTTTGTAAACCAAATATTACATTTTTCTTTTTATATTGTGAGATTCTGTACAAAAACTAGATGGAATTAGAAAGTTTCTGTGGCTATATTTTACATTTTGCTCTCTTGTGTATCAAATTTCTTTATCATTTCTGAATTGTATTAATGGGGTTTAGTTTTGTCAAGTATCAAGGGAAAGTAGGTGCTTCAGACAAAAAAGAAAGTTGTTTTTGTTGCTTGTAGGTGCATATTACGCTGTGGGCAGTTTAGTGCCTTGTTTGTGCATGAATGTGTTATGTGAGTGTGAATTTGAAGATATACATTTGCCATTCTAAGATAAAATTGTACATAGTAAAATTGAAGATATAGATACAATTTTGGATAAAGAGTAGTGTGTATCACAGACTCTGTTGAGTTTATATGAGTTTATTTATTAATACTTCCTTTGTAATACCAGTGACTTATGTTTCTCAACACTTTTTCCTGATAAAATACCCTTGTATTTGCCGATAATTTTGTATATAAAATCATCCTTGACACTGAAATATTATTTATTTAACGAATTTTATTCTAGGGCGTCATCCCTATTTAAAGACATCCAGTCCTTTCTTCATCCAGATTTTTTCCTCAGTACTCATGTGAAATTTGTATTTTCTTGATTATTCTGAATGTGGTTTGTTTGGAGAGTGAAAGAATACTATTAGGATTTAATTTCCGACTTGAGTGAAACCTGGAGACATTTCACCATTCATTAAACTTGAGCAAATGATAACGGTAATAATTTTATTGTTAGTTAATAACATTCATGTCAAAACAGACATATTTAATGTAACACTTGGGTTAGAAGGAATGTTTCTTCAGCATTTCTAAGAAAGAGGGATTTGACCTTAACATTTGCTCAATAAGTGGTAATTGCAACATACCTCAAATGGGACTGTATAGTAGTTAGTATTGCTTGTGTGACACAAATTTTTCACCACTTTTATATTGGTTATAAACTAATAATTTGTAAGAAATTGTTAAATTTTATAGCAAAATTTTATGAAATATAAAATTTTTCATAATAAGAATTGTTACTTCACCACACTGACCAGTAAATGACCAGTTTTAATGTTTATGAAATAACATCAGTAACAAGATAAAACACTAAAGTGAACAATTATAAATAAACTTAATTAAAATATTTTTCCTTAAAATAATTAAAATGAAGTATAGGTTTAACATAATTTTCTGAACAATATATTTGCAAAGAAGAGGAAACAAAAGTTTATAATACAATATTTTTCTGCAAGGGATGGAACAATTGTGCCATTCCACTTATGCTTATTAAAAAATATTTAAAAGAGTAGCTCAAGTATTTAATTACTACAAAAGTTTATTATAATGAATGAACTACAATTATCAGACCTTTGTATTTGAAAATATTTAAACAGAAAGGTAAGATCAACTAATTATATTGTGATTTGATTGTTAAGTTAGGCAAGATTTTACTGCAACAAAATGTGTAGAATGTATGTTTAGTTCTATTCTCAGTACAAATTAGTTAGCCTGTTGTCATTGGAGCAGTTACTTTCAGCAAATTGTCTTGCTCATCATTATAAGATGTCTGTGTGCGTGTGCAGACCAGTAATGATGGTCATAGTGGATCACAGTATCAAATTTTGTGTTTTCATACCTAGATCTCACAGTCCAGGTGAAACCATGGAGTTAATCCACATCTCTTTCTCTCTCTCTCTTCAAAGGAACTAATTATAGAAGCCTGTATTGCAGACCAGCTGCTCATGTTACGTTTTGGCAACAGGCATTACCTCAGTCAATATTACTTCAAGGAGTCAATTACTCTCCCCCATCAACTCAAAGAGCGTCATTAAAAAGGCATCGAAAGTGCGTAAACGTTGGTCCCTGGTTGCCCCGACGAGGAGCGGCGGCGGGGCTGCCTCACCGCTTGGGGCCCTTGCATGCTCTCGCGTGCACCGCCAGGCGGTCGGGGTAGAAGGTGCGGCCGCACAGCGAGCACGGCACCAGCTGCTCCAGGTGTGTCTGCCAAATGGCTTCCATGGTGCCCTCGTAGTCGATCGCGCCGTTTTCTGCAACACATTTGCGGTCAACCTTTCGTTCAGGAGGTAAGCGTGGATTGCTGTAAAAGTCGGTTTTAAGAGGACGGGGGAAGTCGGGATGTTGGGGATCTTCTTTGGTTAGAAGGTAATTACTAACAAGACTGCTCTTGGATTTCCATGTGGTACGGCATTGCATTAAGTTTTCTTTAACTGGTAATGTTTTATTAATCTCCCAACTACGACTATTATTTAGTTTTAGACATTTTAATTAGCTTCTATGGTAGCGTTGCGTTACTCGAATAGCATTTATGCAATATTTAAGCGTCTCAATAATTCTACCATTATTTTAGTTTATTAAAATTATTTTAAAACGAATTGCTCTAGTTTTCATGAATACGTGCGAATCCGTTTAAATACAAGCATTAGAGTTATAGATGGTTAATAAATTGTTTGCGCCGATCATCAGGGGTATTCTGTGGTTGGAAGTAATGCGTGCATCGAAAGTTATCCGATTTACCTTCCACAGGTGGAAAGGAGATTCGTGGTCGAAATGAGAGACTGAATATACATTTCATTTATCATTTGGAATAATATCAATAAGTCACTCCCAAGAATTTATGGAGAGTAAATAAAATTGCTTAAAATGGATAATTGGTTTGCGTTTTTTACTCATAGAAATGTGTATTATTGCAATTGGACTGGAAATAAAATCGAATCGATTCAATTGCCACACGCAGCAAGTAATGAAAACCGCATGATCACATGGTGTTACGTATAACACAAAGGATTTGCAACGGAATTATATATGAAAATTATTTTTCAAGCATAGAAATTAGAAAGCAGAAGTATGGACGTCGTATGCATTCCTTCATTCACTGCCTTCGAATGTTTGCGGAGAAATACTCTTTTTGTGCGTCAAACGCACTTAAGATACCAGTTTTCAAACAACTGTCGCAGCTGTGAACGAACTATTGGCGTTTTCGTTTGGAAGATAATGTGAGAGTGGTGTGTGTGATCATTAAGCACACGTGAAACTAATTCGCGTGTTTACTTTCTCGCTGCGCGAGAAAATAGAGATTTTTCAGTAGAAAACTTATTACAGGGCCCTAATAACGAAAAAGTAGATAAATCCAGTTGCTATATTTAGGAGGGAAAATCTTCTAACACGTGATGTAGCCAGAATTCATATTTTGTATGTCCTTGATACTGAAAATCGAATGACGCCTAAACGTCTGTCTTTCCATATTCTACCACATTAAATATTTTAGTTGTGGGCGTGACCCATCAGGCCTTGCAAGTTGGACATCTCTACTCTCAATGGTTAGATTTGTAAAGATATGTGATCCATTTCCAAGTAGCAAAAAATATGCATTTGTCTACAAATCTGAACCCTAATTATAATTAAGCCACATATACAGACATTATACATCTAATTAGTTTACAAATGTTTGGAAAGTTTCCATTCATAGTCCAAGATCTTTTTCATGCAAAATTAGTTGTTATAATTGAGGGGCAATACATCTAATTATATAAATTTGTAGCTTAATAATTGATATGCATAATTTTATTTACACAACAGGGTACTTCAATCGTAAGTCTACAAATTATTGTTTTGCAACATCGAATATTATTATGAAGTGTTTACACAACTTGCCTACGGCTGACTAACTTACAACAAAAATTACCACAATAAATTTTGGGATTCATGTCATAGAAATCTACAATTTCTGGAAACTTCAAGACTGATTCCCTAAATTATTTGTAAATACATCACAAATTGCTATGATAGACTCTTGTTAATCCGTTCAGGATTAAGGCTGTGTGCACGCACACACAATGACCTGACTTGGAACTAATTGTACCTACAAGTAATTGGTAAATTCACTGACATTGTGCTGAACTGAGTGGGGCGATTCACTCAGAACCAAATCAAATCACACCAGGAGTGTGAAATATCTGATCTTTTTGTTTATTGTTTGCTTCAATCATTTTCTTGTTACTTTGGTCACCATCTAGGCCTTAATGATGAAAGAGTTGAATACATGTCATATTCGATCACTCATGACAAGACTATGGTATTTTCCATCAGTTGTGGCATTAAATTTTTGAACTCACCAGATACGATCCACAATATGTGATGGTATTTCTGCCTCTTCTACAAAATATCAACATCTATCTCTTATCTATAGCATTAAATCTTCCAAATTCTTATATCTCTTATTATAAGATTATTATGAGATCGTGGGGTAACACAGTAAAGATGTTGAGCTTTGTTACCAACTCTAGAGGAGAAATAAACCTAGAATTGACAATATTATTAAAAATCATTTCTCTTCTGTCGTTTTCTAAGGCTCTCATTTTTACGAGATTTTGTTATTTCCAACATTTCCGCGTATGAACTTGTGACTATCAATTTCGTCGAGAAAATCATTTTGGTGACAACATTTACTGGTTTAATGGTGAGTTCGGATCATTACGTAGTAGCTACAAGTAGTAACCATGAACATGTCAACATGGTTTCACATTGACAGACGGAAGGAGTATCTCTTAGAACAAAGTCCAGAGTAAAGATCGCCTGATATGATCTCTGTGTGACCTGACTTAGTCACACCTCACGCGTACTATTTTCTTAGCTCGATGCAGTGACATTGCTATGGTATCCTAGCTGTTTTTCCAGAGGTGTAATGTTCCCTTGATACTAACTCGGAGTGAATAATTGTAGGGAATAAAGGGAAGTTCGCTTTGCATTCAAGCGCAGGCCGCGGAAGAAAATAGTAATGTTATATTACGAATATTCCTCCATGATGCAAGGAGAATAGAGAAACCTTGCTTCTACAGAGACGCAGCTCTTGTTACTGAAGTAAAATACAATGGTTAAACGTAGTATTTTTTAGCAGCAATCCGTTAGAATAATATTTCTTTATCAACGTAGTTCTATGTGACCCTTCTGCTCTACCTTCCGAAAATGCTGTCATGTTAAACGTGACTTATTTTTAGAAGGAAGGTCTTTCATTCCTCGATTGGGGTGTTTTCTGTTCGACGATTTAGTACAGTAGAACATAGAAGTTAAATCGCTTCAAGAAATATTATTCGATTAATGTAAACCTTTTAGGGTTATTTTAACGAAAATGCGAAGGAACCAAAAGAATCAACAGATGCTTGGAATATTTCATTTATGAATCTGCCCAGGAACCGGCATATGTTTCTCGAATTGGGTATTGTTTTGAGGTGCACATTGCAGTACACAATGTACGCCATCCGCTGGCTGGGCGGCGATCGCCACGTGGACAGCGGCGTGCGACGTCGCTTCGAGAGAGAGGGCGAGCGGGGAGGCAGCGAAGCGAGGCGGAAAGCGGGCGGTGCGTGCGGGGCGGGCGGTGCCAGCTACCTTTGTACACGATGTCGGGCTTCTCCGGTTCGGGGCGGCGCAGCTCCGGGGGCAGCGCGGCGTTCTCGCGCTTCCACTTCTCCAGGCACTGGCGCTCGTGGATGATGATGGAGGCGGTGCCGAAGGAGCGGCCGCACAGGTGGCACGGCACGAAGCGGCGTTGGCCGCCGCGCTGCGGGGGCCGGCCCGCGGCGGCGGCGGTCGGGGCCGTCATGGGGACGACGACACGACGGGCGGGTGGCGGCGGCGGGGCGGTGGGGGGCCGGGCGGCGGGCCTGCGCTTCGCCTGCGCCGGCGGGGGCGGGGGCGCGGGCCGGTGCAGGTGCGGGGGGGGCGGGGCGGGGTGGCGGGGGTGTGTGCGTCGGCGGCGCTCGGCGGAGCTGCTCGCTGCGGGGCGCCGCGGGGCCGCGAGGCTACCTTGCACCACCACCTTCGGCTTGACGGGCTCCGCGCGGCGGTGCTGCGGCGGAGCTGCGAGTTCTCCACGCGCCACTTGTCCAGGCATGCGGCTCGTGGATGCGGATGGAGGCCGAGCCGAAGGGCGGCGCAGATGTAGCAAGGGCAGGGGGCCGTGGGAAGGCGCGACGCCCGCCCTCCTCCCCCTCCCCCTCGCGGCCCCTGCCACACAGATGTTTGTTTTTATTTTACCATTAATGACATTTCCAATACAGAATGTATTATATATTCGCTGTGTGGAGAGGTGAGATGGAGACGGTAGAGGTCACTGCTTAGAGAGTCATACATGTAATACGGTAGTCCTGTAGATGGAAATCTAGAGTAATCCGTATCAGAATGAGGTCTATAAGGGTCGTACGTGTGGGATTACTTGAGAGTTTTAACCCATTCCGGTAACGGCGGAGCGGTCCGTTGCCACACCCCAGGGGTGGCACAGTTACGTTTGAACGGTCGCGGCAGTAGACAGGCGGGCATCAAAATAAGAATTTTCAAAGTGGGTAATGTGCATATAGCCAAATACGTTATTTATGGTAATGACTTGGAATTCATCGGTTAAATACTTACAGACTACATTATTTAGGTTTTAAATTAGTAAGAAAATTATGGCGCGGCATGCGCAGGGAAGTTACTTTTGGTGGAATTCTTCAATCCAAAGTTGTTTTTATTATAGCTGTTTTCAACCACGAGATGCAATTTGGATGCTCGGGTTTTTCACAAATTTCCTCTAGTTTCCGGATCTTCGACGCTTGACAGAACTGATCAATGGGTCATCATGAATAAAATGGAGCATTGCTTCAGGAGTACTTCTCGCGGAGGCAATTGAGTCTACTTCCGCGGCACCTGAGCAGAAGCTTCATATTCGTCGAATAAAAAACCTTCGTATGTTCCGAGAACTTACTCATGTCCTTGCGAGCATTTGCTCGTCGTGAACTAAGTGATAGTGCACGCTTAAGAGTTTTAAAAATTGGTTTTCTGAAGCACAAAGAGGTTTACAATACGTTAGACACGCGTCGCGCACGTTTGTGCGGAATAAAGAGCATGTTTTGTTGTCTCGTTATTTAAATTCGAATATGAGTAGCCGTAAGACACAGGCCGCAGAGCCCAGCTAGTTTTGGTAATTGTCTAATTTTTATCTATAAATATATATTTAAATATGAAAATTATTAAGATTGGATATCACATATATAAAGCAATCGAAGAGTGTGAATACAAGATGCTTTCTTTTGCCACGTGTATAATCGGATTATTTGATGTTCTCAGGCTTGTTGCTCGGTTGATGATGGTCATGGAGAGCCATCGGTTTGCGGCGGAGCGACTCACCAGTGCGCGCGAGGGGCGGCAAGCGCGGTGAAAGGCGCCGCGGCTGCAGCTGCCGGAGCGGGCGGGCGGAGGCGGGGCCGGGGGCGGCACTTCGGGCGGGGCCGGGCGCGCGGCAGCTGCGCTGGTGCACCGCCAGGCGGTCGGGGTCGAAGGTGCGGCCGCAGCGCTCGCAGGGCACCAGCCGAGCCTGCAACGGACAATGAGGACTCATAAGGAAACTCAAGTTTTATTTTATTCGTCATTAAATGATAGTTTATATGAATGTTTTTTATTATGTTTGCCATAAACAGTGTTTTTATGTTGCAAATTGTATTTCATTGGTAATACATTATACGTATTTATGTATTTTTGTTGACTTCTCTTAGGTGGTTATTAAAATATTGAAATGTATTCAATAGGGTTTGAGCAATTGTAGATATTTTATTCATACGTACTCGCTTTTATTTAACGACGGTGACGGATTAAATAATGCAGTAAAGCAATCAAGAAAAATTGAATTTATATTCAATTTTCGTAATAAATCACAAATAGATTTTTATTTAGATTAAACTACACGTAGTAAAAACCAATAAAATAATCAGTTTTGCATTGATAACATAATAATAATAATAATAATAATAATAATAATAATAACAACAATTCAATTGTTTTGATAGGATGTTCATAAAATAAAAAAAATATCCAAAAAACTCTGGGCCATCGGGAGGACGATCAAAGACGTTCTAAAGAAACTGCTCCGAGGTTCTTGGGTGCGACTCTCGGTGCTTGAGCAAGCATTGTCGAACGCTGGGAGATGACCACGTGCCTCCTCGCCTTTTCAGGATGAACCACTTGAATTCTTGTTACATTTGCTGTCGCAAATTTATTAGTACCTCTAAAATCGTACTGCGCGCACTCAACATGTGTCAACATTGTCAATTCATTGTCAGTTTATCTTACAAATTAGACATCTGCACAATATTTCCCTACCAATAATCGATACTTTCTAAACTACTTCACAATACGTTATAGACTTAAACACAACAATTTTATCAAAACTGAAAATCCATCTGGCTCAACTGTTATCCAAAATTCCAGCTGTTATCCGAAATCCATCTTTCAAGCACAAAAGAAACTCATGGATATCGTCCAGTTTTATTGCAGTTTTAGTAACTCCATCATCAGCGTACAAGACGATTGCACAATCTTGTACCACCACTATCTATTTCATAAAAGTGAAAGTATACACTTAAGGTGGGCCATGAGGGACAGTGATTCAAAGGTTACCCCTGTTTTTCTTGACAATATTTAATTTAATGCAACCCGCACTGCACTTGTGCATTAAGGGCTTGCATTGCAGAAGCGCGCAAAGGGGCTGTGGTCAGGACACCGCCGGCTGGAGTTGGGTGAAAGCGTGACGAAGCAGGCGGGAGTGTAGGAGGAGAGGCAGGGGCGAAGCGAGGCACGCGAGGTAGTGTGGAACGGAGGGGAAAGGCGTGGAGCAGAGCGGAACGACGCGGGATGGAGCGGCGCGCTGTGGAACGAGGCGGGGAGCAGTGAGGCGAAACGGAAGGGTGCGCGTCGCGAAACGGAAGTGCGCGCTTTGGGGAACAAATAAAATTGCTTCCTCTTTTCAACTGCAGGGAGAATTAATTCCTGTTTCTGCCTCATAAATGGATGTGATGAATAAATGCTCGAGCAGGGTCGGATTATTTCCACAAAACTTGCTTAATAATCCACCGATTGTTCAAGACTGAAAAGAATGTTAGTTAAATGACAGACTTCCGGTAATTTTTTGGTTATTCTCATCTAAAGTAATAAATATGGATTTGTGTTAAAATATGTGAGTGTATTTCATATTATTTAATTGGTTATTATTTGACTTAATTTTTAACAAACAGTTAGGGATTGCTAACAATTTATTGAATTTTATTGTCATGACGTTTTGTGTCCGGCTTGAGATCTTATTTTAAAAGTACAACAGAAAGCAACAATAAAAATTACAAAATGGCTACAAAATATATTAAAAATATACTAATACAATAGAAGCAATATAATTTAATAAGAAAGAAAGAAATAATAATTATGTCAGACTGGAGTCTAGGAGTGTTAAACACATTGAAGAGTTCAAAATTGGTTTAAATTAGAGTAAATGGTTTACTCCGTTTTGTTAATAATTATTCCAATGTTTTGAACACAATATGGTGAACACTAAGGTAATATTTTTCACATTGTCTCTCTCGGAAAATTTATACCAGATCTACAACTTCAATTCTTAAGTATCGGGGTCAAAGAGACAATAACATGTGTCGTAGTAGTTTGCCAGAAACAATCCACTTGTTTTAAATAATTTGAATCCATGTTCTTAAAAGTTGATAGTAATTCATGTGATAAGTCTATACATCTCTCCCCCATATCGTTTATATAATTAAATTTATTTATTGGGTTTTAGGATTTAATTACTAATTACGGTATTGAGGTACATAAATGATTTAATGATGATGATGCGACAAATGTTGGAAAAATGGTGGAATGAGAGCCTGGGGCGTGAGAGGACCATGACGAAAAATCCCCGTGAATTGGCCAGGAAGCGAATCCGGTGGTAAATGACACATGAGCGAATAATTTCGCCACGAGCCCCCCCCCCCAGCCCATCTCACAATGGAGATAAATATGTAGCCCTCGCTTCAGCGTACATTTATACACGCGATTCCAATTTGGACAGCTAGATATGTTTAGCTGCACAACAGCAATTTCTTGTTCTTCCCACCACATACAATGTCGTTTGTAACCTTGAAATGTTTTTTCTGTATGGTCAATTTCTTCGCCAGAAAATACAATAAATATTAATACTCCTACATCGGTCAGTGTCGTATGTCGGCTTGAAGAGGTAAAATGGGCGCCGTCCACCTCGGCGCCTCAAGCTGCCCCTTCTGATTTGCCTGCACACCCTGTGCCGCAGTCACGCGACAAGGATCAAGTCCGGAACACCCGCGATCGCAGCTTTGAGACTAGTAGATATTCCGGCTCATTCAGGACGCATTACTTTTGCTTGATTCTAAACAAGGGAACACATATACCGTTATTCTTTCGCTAAGGACGTAGATAGGAAAGAACAGTTTTTTAGTCGCGAAAAAAACATAAAATGTACATTTTTTTTGCAGTTAAAAAAACTGGAAGTTGGTGGCGCAATTCTGGTTTCGGATTCAGCGCGTCGACATACATAGAGAAATATGTTTCAGTCTTTTAGTCTGAAGTGTGTGTGTGTGTGTGTGTGTGTGTGTGTGTGTGTGTGTGTGTGTGTGTGTGTGTGTGTGTGGGCGCGCGCCTATTTTTAGTTCTCGTTTAGACGCGAGAACAAAGAAATGTTATGTAACTAGCAAGTACATGTTTTTAAAAAACCACTCGAATATTGAGCACCCTCACGTCTCCTTTAATATCACGCTATTCTTCTCGTATTTTTGTTTACACGTATTTTTTACACTATTGGACATCACATACTCTACATACATACATCTATACTCCACAGATATATGTATATAAATTTTCTTTCAGCGACAACGGAAGTAAAGAATTAGAAGAGCATATAGCATCACTGACCCTAATTCATTATTTTAGTGTAATTACTTGAACGATTGACCATGTTCTACTTCAGAGAAGTATTTTTTTCTTCCGGGGGCGTTTTTCAGCTTTCAGTGGATGCCGATTTCGGTTATCCGCGCCGGGTACTCTCAATGTTCCTAATGGGGACACATATTAACCTTTACAATAGACACACTTGCGGGCTCCTCACAAGGCCAACTCATACACGCAAGATAAGGGATAAAAAACCATGTCCACGGCGCGACTCGAACCCACGACCCTTCCAACCGAAGCGCTAAGTCGGCACACGCTCTAGTGACATGTGCCATCCAGGTTGGCATATTCATTTGAACTATCTACTTTAAAAATATTTTAGATTTGGGAGATATGTCTATCAATAACCAAAACAATGTAGCTGTGATGTGTCATCGGTGTAAAATATGAGAATATAGACAAAGTGATGAAAAACGGGGGCAAAAAGAAATATGAAATAAAAAATCACTCATTTGTTAATATTATTTCCTATCATTCATTTGTTTAAACTGTCTCATCCTTACGTGTTGTTTATATTCACAGATTTGTTTATATCATTTTTACAGTGTGGGAATAAATAAACATTAATTTAATTTATTTACCTTTGAACAATGCAATAACGAACTAGAAAAGGGACTAACAAATGATAGAGGATTAATAAAACAAGTGATAAGTGGCGTAAAAATCACGAAGAAGACACCATTTTGAGTAAGTTTTGCGTCGCGTTGATGAATACATGATATTTATTCTTAAAAAGAGAACTATGCCGGATACGTTAGAGTGCGTATATGCCGTAGTGAGGCCCCTGACAGGACGGTACACCATCTTGGTGATATATTTGAAACATTTTTTTATGTGGGAAATTTCTGAAGCGTGAAGGAATGGTTGCGGAGAAGACATTAAGTATTTAGTGGGCTCATGAAAAATGTATTGGAATGAGGACTTCGTCCAAGGCAGTATTCCGACGAAAGGAAAGTGATGAACTTGAAAACATCTTAAAAACAGTACAGAAGTTAGGCGCTAACTCTAACCACCGACCGATATTCAACAGACAGACGTTTTGCCGTCAATCGATTTGTCGATATCAAGACCCCAACAAAACATGGATTCTGGTCACACATCGTGTTAGAGGAAGTAATTTGCTGTGTATGAGAATGAAATATATCCACTTTTTCATTACAGAACTCCGACAACATTCCCGGAGCTTTTTCCGACGAAAATTCTGCGTTTTCCGACTCACGATTACAAAATTTTCTCTGTCCAGAGATAGATATTTTTCATATTCAGTTTCCACCACGCCAGCCAAATGAATTTTCATATCATACCTTTAAAAAGATTTCCGACTGATAGGATCCGATTGATTCACTCATGAAACGCCAAGATCTTTTTTCCTTGTGTGTGTGTGTGTGTGTGTGTGTGTGTGTGTGTGTGTGTGTGTGTGTGTGTGTGTGTGGTGGGGAGTCTCTGTGACGTATGAGCGCCGCGAGGGCTAACACAGTGACGCACGCTACGGGAGGTCACCGCCAGCGCGTCCGCGGCGAGCGCCCCGGCTGGCGGAAACGATCGACGGCCCGGACAAACAAGTGGCGGTCATCGCGGCCGTGGGCGGCGCGGCCAAGGGCAGAAGGGCGCGGGGTGCGTGCGGCAGAAGGGCGTGGGGGGGCGCAAACAATCAATGGACGCTGTAGGGACGGGGTTACCAGGCCCGCGGCGATGGACTCGTGCACGCTGTCACACGCGAGCGTGTTTACGGGGAAAATACTCGTTTTTACTTTCTTGTATGCGGATTCTATAGAACGCCGCGTGCCTTTTTTGCCAGGAAAACACGTTTTCTTGTTTTTTGATTGGATTACGGGAGATTTTGCCGCGCCACAATACAGAAACCGGACTTCTGGGACTTCAGCACAAATCACACTTATTCTGCATTTCGGCAAGTCCTGGCTGAGACTTGGTACTGTCTCTTTGTACGCCGGGAAATAAACGGCTGTCGAACAGATCTTGTGTTATCTATCTGAATCTCTTCCGAGCCAAATTTAGAATTATTAGCACACACAGACAAACGTTTTGCTGTAAACCAATTTTTCGCTATCAAGGACCGACATAACATGCGGATTCTGACAACAAAGAGTATTAGAAGCAGTAATTTACTACGTATAGTAACAAAATTTATTCAGTTGTTCAATATTAAGGCCTCACAAAACAAAGTTTTGTGATGAAGAAGTCATCACTTGCCGCTGCAGCGTTACCATTTTTTCTGTAAGCAGTATGCGAAAAAGTAGAAAACTCTTGAGCGGCTCCTCTGTGCCCGACCGTCTCTAGGAATCGAATGAGTGAAATTTATAATTCAATGTAATATTAATGTAACATAATGACAAACACTCATATGTTGATCATTCAAGGAAAGCACGTTTGGAACAGTGTGCAGTGACCCGTGTATTCATAGTCTGGTGTCGGAGGTACGTGGTACTCGAGCTGGGATAAGGAGTAAGTTCATGGGGCATTTCGATATCAGATTTCTGTATTAGATGGCGAGCGTTAATAAAATTCTGATTACCATACATTAAGTCCAAAAGTACCTTCAGCTCGATCACCTCTCGTAACGAACCTTCGATAGGAGTAACAGACTCGGGCACCCTACAAAAGGGTCAAAATTTTTCGTGAATTCGAAAAAAGGTAAAAAATAACAAGATGACCACTGAAAGTTGTAACTGAAATTCGTATTATTTGAATGTTTTAATTAAGAATTGCTTAAATTATTTTAACGTTGCCCATCGACTGGCTTATGGACAGTGTGCTAGCTTCCTGTGAGGCAGTCCCAGTTTAGATTCCCGACTGGGGCAAAAAGTTAAATTGTAGTTTTCTTATACATCGTCTCAGTTTGTATAGCTGTACGACGAAAGAAAAAGTTCAGGGGAGCCTAGTAAGTAAGGTGCGGTGATGAGAATTCGTCGCTTACCACTTGTTTCCCTTATCCCCCAGGTGAGGATAAAAATCAATTAGGGCCCACGTCTAGGAACACTGCAAGTCGGATACGGCAAGCGCACGGGCGATCGCGCCGCGACAGGAGTTGACACACGTCCCCCCCCCCCGCGCGGGCCACAAAGGCACCTCGTCAAATGATGCGCAATCGCGCCGCACCCTCAAATGTCAAATACACCCATTCTGTACATATTTTAACGATAATTTTATAACTTAATAAATTTTTGTATAGTTATTTGAAGTGATTATCACGGGATAATTTTAATTACATGTTTTATTACTATTGAATTTTGTCAATGTTCATTATTTTCCGACGAATTAATAACAGAAACAAACTGTTTTTGATTTCGGTAAAATATGTGTAGTCCTTTATATATGTTCTATAAATATTTTTATCATATAGTTGCAAGAAAGGTGACACGTACGTAGCCTTAGACGACACCAAAACTAGCTACCCCATTGATTTCGAATGTAGTTGTTGTATAGTGATTTAATTTCTTAATTCAGTCATCTGACATTTCATTCAGTAATCTCGATGGCTATGAATCCATGCATTATTTGACATGGAACATTCAGTATGAAAACAAGTGCTTACATGTAAATAATTCTATAAGGCGCTCGTTATACTCGTTCATGTCCGATTTGACTTTCTTCGCCCCCGAGTGTCCATGTCGACAGCTTATCTTCGACCTTCACGCTCCGCTCCCCCCAAGCATTCTTGAGTTTGTTCAGTGTAAACTTTCTAAGGCATTTTAAAACAAAGTACTTTTAGGGTCACTATGATTCACCACTCTCTCAAAACTATTATTAAAACAATAATATTTATTTAAATGAAATTAGAGACCCACGTATCAGATTTTATTCTAACATTTTGAATATTCGAATCGGAATTCATTCAAAAAAAACTTTTGATATCACTGAATCACATTTATCTTTTCCTTTCGTCGCAACTCACACATTCTCACCCAAACCCCATACTCGATAAAGCCAGAATACACACAAAGAGTTTAATCATACAGAAATCATCTATTTCTTTTCGTATTTTAGTACCAAACGTTAGTACCACGTTCTAGTCGTATTCGTATTTTGGTACCAAACATACCAAAGCATGAATCCAAGCCATGGAATCAATAAGCGTGGTTACTAATATAATCAACTTAATATTTGCATCACGTCCATGTACAGCTAGAAACAAAAAGGTCGCGTTTTCTTGATCGGGATGTAAAGATGGGGAGAGGGGAGAATGGAACGCGCGGTTTCAGAGCTACGCGCTATCGAACGCATGGGATACCAAAACGATCGAACGCGCCGAAGAACTTTTTAACTCTCTTTGTATACAAATGAAAGCCTTTGGTGAAATACAAGTGTATAAAGAGCGGAAAGGATACGCTCTAACGTATTAAAAGAAAGTTCATGTACCTGCCGAACACTGAAGTAAGACGGGTTGCATAACAACAAGGGGTAAATATTACATGTGTGACATCTTTATATGCAAATTCCCACCATATGCTCATTGTCAAAAAGTAATGATATTCAACTCCTTACCTAGCCTAGAACGCTGTCACTTTTATTGTGGAAATTTATAACATTTATTCATCAAAAGTCCAAGCAATTATATTCCTAAAGCGAACTTATTTGCAATGATTCACAGAGTACACAAAATGTATCATTGTAAGAGGAATACTGTTTTATTATATCACCTGGAAAAGTAATTTAATTGTCGTTTCACACAAACATTGACGCAGGGCGAGCGAATGTAAGAGTAATGAGACCGTACAGCGTATCGGTACCATGATCAGTACAGTATACGGAATAACGTTCTTTGCAGTCCTTCCGGCGGAGTGTACGAGTATTAGGCTGCGCGTTCGACCGAGGTGGAAGGGGTGGGAGGCGGGGGGCGGCGGGGAAGTGCGTGGGCGGTCGGTCATCGCGACGCCCATCGCATCGACCGCCCGCGACCTTGCGCCTCGGCTTCGCCGCCCGCCCGCCCCCCGCCGGACCACGCGGGTGGACGCCCGAGAGGACGTGGGGACGGCGTGACAGCGCTGGCGAGGTTTTGCACGGAGCACAGAGCATTCTGAATAAAAAAATACATGCCTCGGATATCCTATGTCAATTGTTATAACAGATATTTCCTCGTTAAAAAGCGATTCAATAACGTTTAGTAACAGAAACAAATTGTTTTTGATTTCGGTAAAATATGTGTAGTCCTTTATATATGTTCTATAAATAATCTATAATAATAAATAATAAATATCATTTTTTGTACCGTTTCAATTTCCAAAAAATATCTAATTTCCGATTCAATAACGTTTAGTAACCCATTTTTTGTACCGTTTCAATTTCTAAAGTACGCTTTTCCTTGTGTGACGCAGGCGCGCATATGATAAGGTACTTGGTTGATATTCATCACTCTCGCTCTGGGCTTACGTTTTGAATTTTATATATTTTTTCTTACATATGGAACCATATACGATTTTTAACTTTGTTTTAGATTGTTTAGAAAGAATTGTTTTAAAATTTTGACTACGTCTTTATGTGTAGATTTATTTGAACAGGTATTCCAGAAGCACTTACGCAATACAAAACGCTTTGGCGCTCAGCGTGGGCCCCTCGCCTATTTTCCAGGCGTGTGCAGGCGTCATGCCAGCCCGACCCGTAACGAATTATCTGCGTGAAGGACCCTACCCGAAATACACCTACGTCACCTATAGATTGTCGGATACATTTCGATATGTTAAACAATACAAAAAATATTTGGGATGCTACTAGTTTTTGAGTTACATCTTAGCAGTAGAGTCACCTTAGTAGTTAGTAGTTACACCTTAATGAGTGACCACCTGCTAGAGTTGACGGGTTTACCAAAAACTGACTTCGGGTATTGGCTATGAGCTATGTTACAACCTCTGCCCAGTTAGCCTTTCTCTTGCGAGCAAGAGTCGTCACCGTACTCTATAAATGCGGCCGGCGTTGTAAGTACACCAAGTAATTACATTTTAATTTCATTTAATATTGGCGTAAACGACGAATAACTTAACTAAATGTAATCAAAACACTTCAGGACTGATGTATAATGAGTATGACGTATGACGGTATATAAGCGGAGCTTTAGCTTTCTTGAAATATTGAAAACGTAGAAGAAACAGCATAACACAGAAAATAGTGAATTTGCTACCCTCATCAAGATTTGCTGGTTCTTCTCAACATATACCAGTTAGCAGCCAACGATATTTATTGCAGTTGGTGACCGTCTGAGGGCAATCTTTACCCCAAGCGGAATTACAAAATTGGAGATATGCGATCGGTTAGGCTAATTCAGTACTGCTTATGACAGTAAATGTGAGTATATTTTGGTGCCAAATATTTTATTGAAGTTAATTGGAAAGACATATCATTCAGTTCAAGACGAGTTACATCATAACTTGGCCTTTCTTAAACTACCGAGTGCACCTTGTTATATTTCATAAATGGATTAAAAAACGTGGATTAAACCACATTTCTCCGGAGGTGCTAGCATCCCCATGCGCAGGCCCTTACCTGGGACGCCTCCCACGCCAGGCGGTTCCACTCGTCGGCGCCAGGCGGCGCGGCGGGGCGCTGCGGCGGCGTGCGCCGGAGGTGCGGGGGCAGCTGCTCGTTCTCTCGCTGCCACCTCTGCAACAGAGAGCCACGCGCCTCCACGTCACTCACCAGCCCCCCGCCTCCCCCGCACGCCACGCGCCGGCGGAGGTGCAGCGCCTCTGGCCGGAAGGGTCTAGGGGTTCCACTCCCGAAGGTGGCAGGATTTTCGACACTTCCTGCATAGCGAGGTCAGATTCAGCGGCTGTCTGGAGGAGAATTCTAGCGGCCGGCTGCTCTGATCGGTAGTTTTTCGTGGTCTCTCCGATCAACATCAGCCGAATGCCGAAGTAGTGGTCTAACAAACGGACCGTGGACCGCGCGCGGTCGTTCCTTCCTCTTCCATGCCTTGTCCTCACCTCTTACTTCCACACACACACACACACACACACACACACACACACACACACACATGTACTTCACTGTCACACATACCGGAATACCAGTCAGGAGCGTAGAGCTTTCCCGGGCTTGGGGCGGGGACCTGCTGGTCGGAGATACGTGGTTGAGAGAAAACCCATAAACCGAATCTCTCCATTCGGCGGGGGACGATCACCGCTACCTCCCGCGATAAAATCATGCACTGAACTCACTGTAATAATGACCTTAGTAGTTGACGCGCCCGGTATCACTAATTAATCATTCAATCAACTGCAGGTCACGAACCAACCATTTAAAACATGCGAGTCAGCGCTGAGCTGCGAATGGTAAGTACGTGTTGTAACAGGCTTCTGGAGCACAACGACGTAACTATTTTATCGGTTAACACATTTAGCGGAGCACTGTGAATTTCAGTCGTCTGTCAACTGTTTTGTTTGGCATCCTGCTTGACATTTATGCGTTACGTGTTCATGTTGCAGCGAGACCTGCAATCGTGATGCTATGTTAATATTACATGGAACAGAGAGGAGAAAAAGTAGGAGGAAAAAGAGAATAAAAAGAATAAAAAATAAAAGAGAGAAAGAAAAGAAGAAAGAAAGAAATAAAGAAAATAATAAAAAAGACTACGACGGTGGAGAAGAAAGAATAAGAAGAGAGAAAAGGCGAAGGAAAAGAAAGATAGAACTGTTGACGTAGATTAATTATATTCTTAGCATTCGCATAAAGAACCCACAACCGAACGAATTCATTGCACTGAGTATCTGTAACTTGGTCTTCTATGGCCGCTATGTTTATATATTCCGTCATTTGATATTCAGTATCATCAGCTCTGAATATGAACTCTGTATATTATTTCTTCTTTAAGAAACTCCAGTCTGCGAGGCCCCGATAACTAGTAACGTAAGAATTTTCACAATTAATCATCATCATGGTACTCAGCTTTCATGCAATTTCTGTTTAATTATTACACTAAAAACATACTAATTAAATTGTTATCTCGACGAGTTTCATCACAGGAGCGAGCATTATTAATTCGGCTGTACATATCCACTGCCGAGGGCCAGTGATGATACAGCTCTCCTAGTGGATTATTAAACTTCTGATACTATTCAATTCATCATTTCAGAAGCGGTGTGCATTGACAAATAAGAATATACTATATCCACCAATCACAAAGGAGGATATACCATGTTCTACAATAATCAACTTTCGCAATAACATAAGTACTAAATTAGAAATCTTTCAATTATATGCAAGATGTTAATTGAGATGCTCATTTTTTCGTTATTACTTTGATTTTTTGATTGACTGCTTTTTATCTGACTGCTTCACACTGCAGAGCGTCTCCAAAGTTACATCCGCATTGTTTTTAATTTTTCAAGATATTTCTTACCTCTACACCTTTCTGAACAGTGTTTTCAATATATTTTTATTATACTATACATTAATTTCATTCACATGAAAAACTCATTATATTACGCCGTGCAGCATTTCGTTCAAATTGAATGTTACGACTACAAAAGAAGTTTTTACAGAATGATCGGGGAAAAACGAAAGTATGAGAGGTGAATGAGGCTTCTGAAGTTCGATTCGCGTCGATCAGAAAACGAAACGATAGGGGGAATGGCCGCGCCACCGTCTTGGGGCGACTTCCGCATTGGCGGCCGCGGGGGCGGGGGCGGGGGCGGGACAAGGCTCTTTCGGCCCGCACGCGAACGGCAGGTCAGCAACTTCGCTCCGGCGAACGCGCCGCCACTTCAAAGCCTCTCCCTCGAAGGCGCGCTTCTTTCATCGTTTGGCCCAGCTGATGTATGCGCTGAACCAGGAGTGCCCAACTTGCCTCAAGTGCCACTACCAAAACCATTAATATGGGTGGGGGCCATATTTACATTATTCGGACGATTAGGTCTTGACTTCCCCGGATTGTTGATCTCGCCAGTTTGTCCGGCTGGTCTGAAACGGGTCGTGGGGGGGGGGGGGATGCGTGATATCAGGGCGTACCATGCGTAACGCAGTGAAACACATTGGGATGATTTTGAATTTCTGAATTTACTAGCAAACAATTCTTACATTAAAACTTAAATAATTTTTAGATTAAGATGGTGTTGGTTCCGACAGGACGTTTGGGCTAGGCGCCGTATGTTCTCGCGCAAATATGGGTCTTTCACATTTGACTAATCTTTCGTGAGCCACAATCTATGACGCTGCGGGCCGCCTGTTGGACAACCTTGCGCTAAACGCTCCTTTCATGCTGAAGAGACTCACACGAGTTAGACAAACGGAAAAGAAACTTTGTAGCTGTTTATATATTTATATGGAGTTCGATTCGATTGAAAGTTGTTGCTCAAATTTCAGGCAAATGGCGACTATAAATATTTCTTCACATAACAGAAGTGTACAATTTATTTATTTGGAACTTATTCCTTATCGAACCGAGTTGAGTACGACGGTTCTAACCGGCTTAGATGGCTCAGGGCAGCAGTTGATGCCATTGCTCTGACAGGGAGATTCTAGGGTTCGAGTGGCGACCGTGGCAGTATTTTCGACATGAGCTAGACAGTGACTTCTTGGCTGTCCGGGTAACGTCGCGCCGTTGGCTGCCAGGCCCTCGTCGCGGCGTCACCCGGACAGTCAAGAAGTCATGAATTCGAGCCGCGGAAGCTTAAGTTTACAACAGCTAGATTGCTTGGATCCGTGATTCCTCCGATCAACACCAATCGAATGCCGGAGCAGTACCCTAAAAATTGGCCTCGGACCGCGCGCGATATTTCCTTACTCCTCTTTTTCCTATTGTCATCCCTTTTTACACACACTACCGCATATGTCTGGAGACTATGGTAGTTGTGGAAAAGCCCTGCAAGTCGAAGGGTAAGTCGGCGCCGGATCTCGCTACCCAGCGGGGGAAGATCACCGCCACCGCCCGCGATGGAAACATGTACTACACTTACGGGAATAATGACACCGGTTGACGCGCCCGCTGTCACTAATTAATCAATCAAAAACAGACGTCCCGAGAGCGGTGGGGGAAAGCGATGGACGGGTGGCGGAGCGAGGGCTCTCTGTGTACGTAACTAAACTGCGCGACAATGCTGGCCGCAGAATATAAATAAATTATAGAAATACGCTACTAATGAGGTGTTTGTATTTGCTATTATTTTGCTCGAGGTGATTTGTGGTGACGTGCGTCGCGAATCACCTGTTGTGAAAAGGTAGTGATATAAACTTTCGTTGATCTTATAATTGCGTACTCTTATAAAAGAAATTTGACAATAACATATTGACATCATACGACGCTATTTTTCGTGCGATGATCGTTTGTTCTGTCCTCGCGGAAGTGAGCTGATTCCTTCACGTTCGGTTCAATAGGGGATAAGAGACTCTTATTTATAGGCAAAGCAGTAAAAGCTGTATGTGGGAGAGAACAATAATATACACATGTTTTCTTGTGCTTCAGAATTCTTACCCATCTCTTTTACCAATCATGGTTGAATTATTAAAAATGAAAGGAAATAGTCATGCAATAATTGAGAAGGATAACCGAAATATTGCCATAGCATTTGTATCTTAATTGATATTTAATGCTATAATATACAGATTATTCGACCTCCATTTCTTAACTGTAATCCAGGCTGGCTGGTCCTTATTATGTGAGGTAGCATTGGTTATTTTCCAAACTATCAGCATGCAACAGTGACTGATGCGTCATACTTGCACAAGGTTTTATGGGTCACGAGTGATCGAGATTTTCATACACGTTGACCCTAATATTACATGCGCATACGAAAGTTAACGTATCACATAAAAGTAATCGAATGTTAAGACGTGTATTATGTGTTTTACAGATATAAGCCAAATTTTCAATTGTATATCATCGAGATTGCGCTACACGTGTGTATGAGCTATATTAACAATTATATCTTACTTCGTTCACCACACTATTGTGCTTCTTAGTTTTATAACGTTGATCCCTGCAGCCATCTTATATTATACTGAGTAATTATGAGTTTTTGTTGTAATCTAATGTTATTAAAAATGAGCTTTTAAGTAAATGGAATTAAATTTTAAACAGCGAATAATGAAAAGGCACCTATAAACATTTCCTATAACCTGTGAACCTCATACCTTTCGGACCGTTTGTTTTGTCCATCGGCCTGTCCCTCCGATGAGCCACAGATGTGGTGAACCACAGTTATAGCAGCTAAGCTCGATTTTGGAGAAAGATTCGATCCGTCACGAGGCATAAATATGCCCTGGCCAGGAACCTACGATGATTTATCTATCTCGCCTATACAAAACACCTAGCATTCAGGAATTTTAAAAGTGGCTTATATATGTCAAAAATTAATATGTTAAAATAAGTTTTCGATGTCTGTGTTTATTAAAGGCAATTTAACTAATAAGTGCAAACGGAACAAATTTCAGTTGCCAGAAATATGCATTCTTAAAATTAATAATTAAAAAAATTAATACACAGATAGTTCTTTAACGTATAACGTATACATTAACGTATACATTGCGTCAAGCAAATTCCTTATCTTTATACGAATGTAGGAAAACAATATTTTTTAGATAAAATATATTTTCTCTCAAGTTTCTTTATCAAAAAGTATATTCATTCATTCCATTTGCGATTTTCAGTTTAATCATTAGATATA